CATTATAAATGATGGATCCGATGATAACTCCCAATTATTCATAAGAAATAAGACAATAATACATTCAAATTGCTTGTGTTGTTGGATTTGATTTTCCACCACGTCGCGGGAGGTTTTCAGAGCCAAACCCCAGCTTTACTCCCTCAGGAGCCAATATTTGTTTACAGTGGTCTATTTGGTCTGGATAAACTGTGACAGCCTGCTCAGACACCGTGCATATGTGCAGCTCTTAACCAATTTATCATGGGACAAAAAGAGCCTTCAAACATACCAATATGAGCCCAATGTTAGAGACTGACTGGAAGTCTAACTAGGGTATTACCAGAATGACCCAGTTTCACTGCACACCACTGGACTTGTTATGGTGTGTTAGTGAATGCTGTATCACTGCTTCCCTCTCTTTAATTTCCATGCCTACAACTTCTAAATCCTCTTTTTTCCACCTCATTGATTTACAAAGAGGTTTTCTGTCTCTGTTGTCAAAGAAAGAGAGAGCTCCAAAGTAATTGTTTCTTTTGACCTTGAACAAAAAGCTTTCTGTTTGAATGATAGTTCCCAAACTCGAGTTTTTGCCAAACACCCTTTTGCAGTTTTGGCGGTAAACTCCTCTCCAACTGCGGATCTGGTATCTGGAGGGATAAATATCACAGCTGCGGACTCCTTTTTGCTAAGATTAAACCGACTAAGATTACATTGGCTTGGATGTCTAAATCATGACGGGAAAGAGTGAACCGTGGTGAAAGACGCAGAATTCTTATAAAACATCTGCAAGTCAATGATTTAGAAAAAAATCTTCTGATCTTTATGTTCCACTACCCTGAACTAGATTTAGGCTTAGTTGTTACAATATCACAGTTGCTACAGACATGCTGTAGAGCTTTAACTTTTGATGCAAATTCCCATGAAGTTCGTATTCAGCTCTCCAGAGGTTCATTTTGTTTAGAGAAGAAGAAAAGCTTTTGTAAGTTGTGCCTCTGGCAAGATGATTGAGAAGTGGAATGACAGCTCTGTGGCTGCTGTTATGAACAGCTGCACTGGTACGGAGACAGTATTAACAGCTTTAATTGATTAGAATAATTGCATTATGGAGAAATAACTAAGTATGCGGGGAGGGACGGGGTGCATGAAGAATTTGAATGATCTTTGGTAGAGATAAATGTGCTATAATATATTTCTAGGAGTGATGGGTGGGCTTTATTTATTTTGCACACCGGCATACGTACATTTTCTAAAATCATAATGTTGTTTGAAGTTGTATCAAACTTTTATCAAAATTTTATTAAAAACATAATCAAGAAAAGACAAAATAAGACCTCCATTTAAAAAGACTCATCTGTATTTTTATCTGCAGTTTTTACAAATGCCAGAAGGCTTTCTGTGATTTGGAGAAGTGATATGGTGATAACATTTAAAAAATCAAACAAACTGAGGGGCCTTTCTCTCTGTGTGCGTCACAGAGCAGGCAAAAATACACTTGTGGCCCTAAATACTTTCAATGGAATACATAATCACTGTTGTGGACATGGTTCACAAGTTTCCTGTTGGAGCATCAACAGAATCTATAAGCAGGAGGTGGGCTCTTGTCTGTAGGTTGAGTATGTTTTGGTTAAAACCGCAGGGAGTTGGTGTGTTGGGTGACACATGATGTGATAGAGCGGACAGTTTGAGAAGTGTTATTGCCTGTTTTTAATACATAATGCACAATGATCATGATTGACATGTGCCACAGGAGCCTTGACTCCAGTGGCTGTTCAGGCTCCGGACTGCTATTAACCCGTCTGTGAGGTGTTTGTTTGCCTGCTCCAACCTGAACTCCAAAGCAACCATAACCCATCAGCCTGGCCTTTAACCTTGCACTCTGGAAGCAAAGGAAATACTATCGCCATGTGGCCTTTGATGTGGGTTGAGTGGCCATATTTAAAGTGTAATGCACACACGCACAAACATGCACACACAGTATGCATGCAGTCATTAGTGTAAGAAATACTTATACTCAAAGATTGTATGTAAACTTACAAAAGTATCAGCATCAACATATACTTAAAGTGCAAAACATTAAACAAAATGAAAGTTTGGAGTCATTTGGTGCTATACACATAGAAAAAGATTGTTAAATTCATAGAATAAAAGAAAATAAACCAATATGTACAGTTATTTAAATACATATACGCGTATACACACAGGAAATATGTGATACTCACATATAAAGAAATATTGATGTAATATACACATGATATACACACTGATATATATTATATATAAGTATTATATTATTGATGCTTTAATATATACACTTAAATGTTATAGCTGGTGGTGGAGCTAATTTTAATGACTTGTTATACTGCTGGATAGCTTGTGAATTTCCTTCTGGGGATCGGTAAAGTCTTATCTTATATTCTGTATTATTAATCTAAATCTTAACTAGTAACTAAACGTATAAAAGAAATGTAGTGGAGTATAAAGTCCAGTATTTCACTCTCACTCTCAGCACTTGAGTAAATACATTTCGTGACTTTCCACCACTGCTCATTAGAAACAGCAATGCTCAGCTCATTTCTTTCACTGACTGCACACATATATATCTGAAATGGCAATGTGAGGAAACTTACTGAGAAATCATGTGATGTGACGTCAGTAAACTCCACACAAAGCAGGTTTATGTTTACTGACCTACCTAACCTCTAATACCAAAGGATGTTTAATGGGAGCAGATAAAGGAGCTAAAAGTTGTGGGATTCTGCTTTATCTACAAACCTAGTTTCAGCCCTCACTTGGCAGAACTCTAGTTCGCTGGCACACTCACCAACAAGGTGGGGAGGCTGCCAAGCTGTGTGGCAAATCAAGCCTGGTTGCGTCAAATATCAGGTTTGTAGTAGAGCTTAACTGCAGGCCAACCATGAACCGTGACAAGCATGAAGAAAGGGACGATTTTCTGCAATTTTCCCCTGCCTCCCCTGTTTCCTTTTGGGAGATAATTGTTTTAGTTTGCAAGTAGCAACTATGTATGTATGTATGTAGAATGTACTCATGTTTAAAGCTGCTCTAACCAATATTCTTATAATAACAATGGATGAATAAGTATAATACATGTGATACAAACAGAATTATAAATTGTCTTTGCAGTTCCTCTCACCTCTATGAAGCCATTTAACAGCTTTCAGCTCTTTGCTTTGGTTTTATGGTCAAGGGCATAATTTTGCCTTGAGAGGTGTGGGAGGGGGGAAATTGCTGTTTATTATACTTTTATATATATCAGCGTAGTCTAGGTAAACTGTTGGTATAAGTCAGCCATTGGCCGAATCTTTCACTTTCACAGAAGTATTCTCCCCCTTCCAGACTTAATGGAAAGTGACCTGTAGGCAACTGTAGATAAAAACAATTCATTATAAGGTAACTATAACACAACAATTCCTATATTCAGGTGATTATTACACTAATAAAAACATACCTATGAATATTATGTTACATTTCTTCCAATAGATCCCTGAAATGTTACACACTGGACCTATAATGGCAAGGGTTAAACTTCCCATGTGCAAATGTTCCACCAAACAACATGGTTTTACATGTCAGAGTGGATTTATTAGTCACAGGGAACACAACTTGTGACGCAGTTGCATCAAGTCTTGTATACCCAAGTGACATCATTGCGTTCAATCTCAGCTTCGGTTTATAGATTCAAAAATTTCAGCAGAAAGCCAAACTCGTTTGAAAGACATGGCCATTTATCTGGCAGCGAGCCTATAATGAAAAGCATTATAAGAAATGTAGGATTGAAGGTCTTGGCCCATAATAGGAGACTAAAAGTCAGGACATTTTGTCCCTCTGCAGCATCAGTACTTTTTTCGCTCATGAGTCCTTCAAATTCATTAAAGTGCCTCTTTCATGACCTCGTGATAATTTAACCTATAATAAGATACCATTGACAAAGACCATTTCAAGGCCTGCTGAGTGCCTTTCAAGGTATTTGCTCTTGTGATTTCCATGCATAAAGGAAATCTGGATTGCCTCAGCTAAGCTTTTAGGCTACAGTATGGATGTAAAAACATGACAGGCTGAATGCCTGCAATAAAAAGCAGATCTCCTGGAGAGCAGTTTCTGACATTCTCACATGGTTGGCATTGTTGCAAAACTGAGTCTGCTCCACCTGAAGGCAAGCAAGTTTAATTCTTAACCTTTCCCAAAAATGAATCAATCCCAAGCCCAAATCATTTAAAGAGCTGAAGCACAGATGAAAGAAATAAAGCAGTATCAGTGATTTCCTGCAATGCAATGGGGTGTACTGTTATCTATAACCTTTTTAGAAACAAATTAGTATGAATTTTAGAAGGGACTTTCCTTATTTCCTGTATGGTGAGTATCTCCGCCGTGAGGTAGACTAATAGAGAGTCCCATCACTAAGATAGCCCTGCTTTTCAGACTGAAACAAACATCTTTTTGTGCAAAGGGAGGAGGCAGCAGATCATGTGCTTGATATAATCTGTTTATGAAGTGGTAATACAGTGGCCTTCTATGTTTTCTAATCAGCAGGGCCGGCCTCAGCTGTCTGGTCTCTCAGTGATGTTTTGTATTTCGGATTAACAAGGAATCTAAATTTATGTCTGAATGGTGTGGCTTTTTAGAGGGATGCGGATATGCTCTAACCCTTATCTAGAAATGTACTGTATTTTACATCTCTAGCTAATAAGTTTATTATACCATACAGACAGTTTTATGACTGATACATCTTCATAAATTCAATTTGTAAAAGTGTGCTGCAACTCCTTCAGAAGTGCTGCCCTGGAAACAAAAACAGTAACTCATTGTTTTCTTAGAGAAATCGAGATAAATCATAGAAAAGCAACTGAGGAAAAAAAGAGATCAGAATTGAATCCCACAGAGAAGAACAGCCACAATATGTGTGCTAGTGTGACACCTAGTGGACAGAGTTTGCAAGTCTTCATGCAGTCAGTGTGAACTGTAGTGGATGACAGTGAGGAATTCATGTGATCACACTGCACTGACGTATTGGATGATTTATTAATGCAGTTATCATAGATGACATGAAATATAGTTTGCATACAACAGGAATACATCATCATATTTTGCACGTGTTTAAAGGAATAGTTTCACGTTTTGCTAAATATTTTTTCTTGTTGTAGATAAGAAGAGATGGATGAGTAGTAGTAGACCAAAAATATGAATCAACAGCAAGCAGCCGATTATCTTAGCTTAACATAAGGACTAGAAACAAATTGTATTAAAAATATATGATTTGTGTTTATTAGTGAGCTGAAGAAGTCCTCGCATTTTGTAAAGTTTAGACAAAGCCAGGCTAGTTGTTTACCTTTGTTTACAGTCTTTGTGCTAAGCTAAGCTAACTATTGGCCCGCTATACATTCATATTTACACGTACAAATATCAGAGTGGTATTAATCTTCTCATAAAAATCTTAGCAAAAAGGAAATAAGCATATTTTGAAAAATGTCAAACTTTAAAGTTATAAAATCTCAAAATGTTATTCCAGCTCATTGTGCTTGTTTTGAAACTCAAAACAGACTACAACGCAGAAAAAATGGGAAGTCTATCTTAAAGATGGTAAAAGTAAAAAAAAGTAAACAATCATTATTATTTATTTAATTTTTTTTTTTTTAAACAGTAATAATAACATTCAATAGCACAAAAAACAAATATGAATCCAAATGGAGTAGAGGTTATTTCATTAAGGATAGAAAATAATAAAAACAATAAAAAAATAGTTACAAATAATAAAAAAGATTATGGCCGTTACAACATTAACCTTGCCACAACAATGCTAAATATAAGAGTGATAGAAAAATAAGGAGAAGAATAATAGTCAAGAAAAGTAAAGGTCTACAGCAGAGCTGCCCAAAGTGGAGCCTTGGGCAAAATGTTTCCCACCATAAGGTTCAGTTTGGCTTGACAAATCCTTCTAGTTAAAGGTAACTAAATATTAATTTAAAATATTAATAAAAACAGATGATTTTGCGATGAGGTAAAAATGCTTTTAAAATATGTATGATCCATAATTTGTTTTTATGATCTGATCGGCCAGCAGACTGACACTTTGCACAGGGAGTCAGTAAACAACAAACTGCAAATGATAGCTGTTTCTTTTGGCCCGGAGCCAATTTTTAAGTTTCAGTTTTGGGCCTTCAAGGGAAAACGTGTGGGCAACTTGGTCTACAGTATTTAGCAGAGTTCAGCCCTTCTTGATAAACATATGTAGGTTGTGCGATACAAGAGTCAAGGTTCTTGAAGAAAATCTAGATAAAAAAACATTTTACAACATTATCTACAATGCATTCATATATTGGTACACTGTGTATTTATATTTGTAAGTCAACAGTTTGAGTAACTTTTGGGACATAATAGGTTACAAATTACAGTCTTAATAACAATGCAGAACAACATTACTTAAATATTGAACAATATGCACATATCAGAATAATAAATATAATTTTAATTGAAAACCTACTCCTGAGACTTGCAGCTTAAATGTTCAAATCAGGGGTCTCAAACTGCCAGCCATCCCCCTCCCTCTGGCCTGCAACATGATGTCAAAAGGCCCACAAGATTATTTTTTATTACTATATTTTCTAGTTGTTTCATAGCAATTTAAACTATCAATTCATATAAAATAAAAATACAATTATAGTTTAACGAAGAAGAAGAAAGAAGAGAGCAGATTTTGATCCTTCATCTGTTAACAACATAGATGATATAAAACAATATAAAATGTATAGAATAGGCTGTTTGCATTTTTTTCCCTCCCTGTACTTGAGCGTTCAAATGTTTCCCTCCTATGACACAACAATACCAACAGTGGCCCAGAGCAATGAGTTTTTGAATTTGAGACCCCTGATTTAAATACTCTCTTCATGAGTAAACCAGCCCTCATTTATTCCGCCTTTCATCTTCTTCTTTATGTTTCTCTCAACTCTTTCTCTGTTTGTTAATGAGGGCACAAGCAATCCAGAGCTTTGCTTGTTTGATGACCCTCCTGCTAGTGTAAATTAACTGGCCTTCAGCTGCTGGTTTTCCCCAGGCTTTGAGCCTTCGATGGGCTTTAGCCTGGCTGTACGATGCAGGGTGCTGCCAGTCACTGACCGGCGCAGGGAGGACAAGCGATTGCGGAAACCCTCTCCAGAGAAAAAATAAAGCAGTGGATCAAAGCATGAATTGGCAGCAGCCAGACACAGTGTCACCACAACAGACTTCTGCATGGCAATGCGCTCTGAGCAGGTAGTGTCATTTCGGGACAGGAAGCTCAGGTGGATGGTGCGCTGTATATGGTATGGCATGAAGCTGATTAGGAAGGTCAGCAGGACGATGACAATCATTCGGATGGCTTTGGTGCCCGTGTCCCGCTGGCGTCGGGCAGCGCTGGTGCGGGACAGAAGGGCGCGGACTATGCCAGCATAGCAGAGCAGGATGACCAGGAAGGGCAGGACAAAGCCCAGCACCAGAGACAAATAGTTCAGCACGACTAGTTTCTTCACACTTTTACCATTTTGTGGAGGCTCAAAGCACTTGGTTTTATTTGTCTTTTCGTCAATATGCTGGCCAGACATCAGGAAGGGTGAGGATGAAAGACAGATAAACACCCAGATACCCACACACACCAGACGAGCACGGTTCTCCGTCACCAAGCGCATGTTCTGCACTGGGAAGACAATGGCTAAGAAACGTGTGATGGACATGGCAGCCATGAAGTAAATACTACAATAGAGATTTACATACAGGGCGTAGGAGCTGATGCGACAGAGGAAATCCCCTTGGTACCACTGGCCCTTGTTGACATAGTAGAGAACTCGGAGTGGCAGCGTCATGACACACAGTATATCAGACACCGCCAAGTTCACCATATAGACATGAAAGGGCGAGCTTTGGCGGTAGGTTCTGATCAACACTGCCAGGGCGAAGCCATTCCCAACCAGGCCTAACACAGTGATGAGGGAGTAAGATGTGGAGTAAACCTGGTTACGGAAGTCATCAATGGACGACATCTGGCATTCAGTAGAGTTGCTCTCTACGATGTCTGTCATATTCCCATGCTCCATTTGTGGTCACACCTGCAGCTACTGAAAGACAAATAACAAAAAACTTACCTTTCAGAAAAAATCATGCAGAGTGAGATGACTGCAGTGACTGAGATGTGGCAGATTGTTTCTGAGATAGTCTTTATGTTTTGCTGCTGTGCAGACTTCAGAGGAGACTCAGGAAGTAGATATGCATTTTAGACCTTTATCCTGTCACATGATGAAATATGTGCTTTTTTGTCATTTCTATTTCTACTGCACACGTTTTTTCAGAAATGCTGATAATATTGTTCATGGGAAATTCTGACAGATTGCGTAATTGTCTCTGTGTAAATAAGGTGATGGATAAAATGGATTACTTTCTCATGAACTCTACTGTACCGAAGGAGACTGCAGAGCAGACAGACGCTGACTCTTGGATGGATCTGGGCCAGATGAGTTTTGCTATCTGGGAACATGCTGATGCCAAATTTTACCATCTATTTATCTGTACACAAGGTGTTACGTAATTAAATAACATGCATACTTTCCACAAAAATTGTCAGCCTCAGATACAAATACATGAAATTTATAATATAAAATGTATCCAGTGAATGTATCTTAGTATTTGTTTTGCTCTAATGCACTTTTACAGTTTGTGAGTTACATAAATTATTGCTACCAAATCATACCGTCATTCAAGCATGCTCCATACAAGACTGTCTGCTGTATAAACTGAAAATGAAACACTGACGAACACGGTATTCAGATTTACATGTTACATTATAGTTACTTGTTGAAACGTATTTGTCTGTATATCTGTCGAGAAAGTCGTTTATCTGTGAGCTACTTCCCCTAAACAAAAGTGAAAACATCTATGATGTAGTGAAAGTGATTCCAATGTTCCAATGTGATAAAAATCGGACTCCAGAGAGTTTTTCTTACCACTGAATTCCTGTCCGGTGCCAAAGTGGTGCAGCCAGTGTGCTGATCCTTCTCTTCTAGTTGATGTGTACAACAGCAGTGCTGCTTCTCTGTGTGTCTCCTCTGCCTCTCTGCCTCGTCTGCCAGATGTCGCAGCAGTAGTGGGAGGAGGATGCTGCTGCAGGTGTCTGCCTCCTCTTATCCTTGCTTTTCAAACTAGTTTTGTACTGTGCAGCATCAAGCATCAAGCCCAATGACATAATCAACCATGCATCCAAGCATTTACAGTAAATGAAATAAGAGTGAGGGTGAAAACAAGGTGCATTAACACTGAAAGCTGTCTCTGTCTTGAACATACTCCCACTGCCAAAGTTTCTCACATGTCACTTGTAAGGCACACTCGGCATTGCAAAATACCGGCAAAGTCTCACTTACTGGTATTTGCTTGGTCGAGCCTGCATACACAAAGGCAGAACCTGTTCTGCTATAACTGTATGTGTATACTGTAACTTAAGTAAGCACAGTCTGTTAGTCCTGAGTGCATTGAATGTGTCATTTCAGATGCAGCCTTGTTAAGGGTCCAGTGTGTAGGATCTAGTGGCATCTAGCGGTTTGGTTGCGGACAGCTCCCATGCTTCACCCTCCCATTGCAAGCGTCAAGGAAAAGTGGCCACACAATGCACAAATAATACATGCCGACTAAACCCTAACTAGTGCCAGTGTTTGTATTGTCCATTCTGGGCTACTGTGAAAACATGGCAGTTCAACATGGCTGTCTCCATGGAAGGCGGTCCATGGCATCTGCCGTAATTTCTGGGGATTATACACTAATCAAAGCATAGTTATACCTATTATGTGTAATTTCTGCCAATAGATCCTCCTAAATCTTTCAAATGTATTTATTTTTTAATTCTTTTTTATTTAATTTTAATACATACAACATACGACACAGGCCACACCAATACTATACATAAGAATACCATCCCCCAACACCCCACAAGATACACATCATAACTAAAAGGCCAAGTCGTCATTACACCATATATCCAAACAAACACCCAAAACAGACACCCCAACAAATCCAAACAAAAGCCCTACACTTACAATACCTACAGACCTACATACTCCTATATACATCTACTCAGACAACTGGTTATTAGTGTCTGTTATTAATTATTTTCAGCAGTCTGTTAAAGGGTGGTGCAGCTTGGTGTTCTGCAAACAAGTAAAGATCAAGCAAACCTGATATCACATGGCGTGAGGTGATAACTGACATGTGTCAGCCAACGCAATCCTGCTTGACAGATGATGTCATTTCCTTTGGATAATGCTAATGAGTGTGATTTACAGTTAGTCAGTGGAGTCCGGATACTAAAGTGGAAATGGGCATACTCATTTTTGCAGTTGAAAGGCCTGTGATCTAGAAGGACAGAATAATTCATCTGTAACTCATTTAGTGGTTAGGCCCCAGCAAAGACAAACATTTAGCCCCACTTGCACTCAGGAGATGCCTGTATTAACACCACTTATTCTACATGATCAGATAATTATTATTCTACTAGCCTGGTAATGCATTGCACCACAAAGAATAACTGCAGGAGCAGAAAGTTGCAATAAATGTTTTGACCCTTCTGAGAGATCCTGAAAGTGCATTTGATATTTCTGAGTAGTCCCTTTTTAAGTTCTATAAAGTACCAGCTAATGCCACGTAATTGTTTATTGATTGCATAGTGATTGAGGTCTTATTGTTGTCAAGAGATCGTCTCTCCACAATCAGGGCACTTAATAGTACATCAAACATGCCAAGGAAACTGTATTCATCAACAGGTTAATCAATACTTCAAACAAAGCAGTGAATTCAAATATAGGTGCACCAATTACCACAAAACATACTGCCTGTCTGCAGCTGAAGGTGGTAGACAACAAACCAGTGGCTCAGTTGAGTGCAGTTTCATGAGCTGGTGTGGTTGCTTTGTGGATCATAATTGAAGTGAGCTGCAAAAGCCAATAATGTGGGGGTGGGAAATCAAATGGTTGATGCACTAAGTGCATCCTCCCAGGGATCATCCAATTTTTGAGAGTGGACTTACTCTTATCACCCAGACCAACATGGTCTCTTTGGGTTTATTGTTTTTGTTAACTCACCTCATTATTCTATGATGTTTCTTACCTATTTGGAAAAGGGGCCAAATGTCAATTAAGTAGTGTAGTGATTTTTAGTTAACAGAAGCACTGGCACACTTCCATAGAATTAAGCCACTATTCATGTGTTTGTTACATGTGTCAAGTCAAATTTCTGTTGTAGGTAAAAACTATTGGCATTCTGTGGGCGGGACTTCAGTGAAGCATTGTGTCCTTGTTGTTGTTGCATTAAGGACTCCATCTGGTTGTTTGGTTATTTGGTTGACTGGTTGTTTGTGTGCTTTTTTAGTTTTTTGGTTGGTTGATTGTTTGGCTATTTGTTTGGCTGTTTGGTTATTTAGTTGTTTGGTTGGTTGTATGGTCAGTAGTTTGGTTAGTTGGTTGGTTGGAGTATATGGGCACAGATGAGTATGGTCAGTCTCATGAACTGTTGAGTTCAGTGTCGTGGGAGAAATGCTTTTTTGTCTGTAAGACACTGAAGCAAATGACTCCATGTGTGCAGGAGGAGACACATATATATAGTATAGTTTCTTTATTGGACGATTCTGCAAAACTCCGGTTTATGTTCGGTGACAATGTTCTTGAAAATCTTTCATACTGAAATGTCTTGTATGGCAACTATGACATGGTTAAAGTTAGGGAAATATTGTGGTTATGTTGGTGTGTGCAAACCAAACTATGGTTAAGGTGTGGCCAGGGTTGAGGTGTTGGTTATGGTTGATACAAACGCAAACATTAACTGTGGGTCTGCATTGATGCCAACTGCAGTTTCCTGCTCAATGTTGCACCCTGAGCTCCACACCCTTACTTTCTCCCTCCCTAAGAGCACACTACTTCCTGCAGTGGAATGAGTTTTGACACTAGATAAATATCACAAGGTGCACAATTGGTCATTATGGATGTAGTTCCTTGGTATACTCGGCTGACCTTACATTCCACCTCTGTAGTGGCAAATAGGGCTAATAAGGGACTTGGTAAGCAACATGTTGCAGCATCATTTTGTAATTGCTGTTGCTAAACCAGTTAGTTTAGAAGTGTGTGACTTTGGCAGAAGAGACTTGTTTGCATGCTATCTCCTAATGATAGTACATACTTGGAAGGTCCCTCGGGTTTTGTTCTAATGTTTCCTCTTCCTTATAATATAGCAGGTATTTGAGGGGCAGACCGAGTCAGCCTTCATCTGCTATTATTGGTTTTGTTGTGGATCCGACATTAACCTTTCACTATACATCACACCCATGCAAATGGATGGGAATTGATAAGAATTTAACGATTCCGATTCCATTATCGATATTGCTTATCGATCCGATTCCTTATCGATTCTCTTATCGATTCTCATTGGGTGAGAGAATAAGTACAAATTTGTTTGTTTGTATTAACTCGCTTTAATATCTGATCAGAAGACACAGCACAGAGTATACACAAATTTTGTGTAGCAACCTCAGAACAAACCTAAAAGTAGGTGAGCTACTTCTCAAAGTAAAGTCCAGGGACCCATAGCCTAGGGCAGTGTTTCTCAACCAGTATGCCATAGCACGCTAGTGTGTGCCTTGAAAGATTATCAAGAGTGCTTTAGGATTAGGAAATTGTTAATTTTCACATGAATTGGTCCAGACAAAAAAATAAATATTTGGCTTTTTAAGCCCAACCACCATTATGTGCCATAAAAACTAAAAACACAGACTAAAATAGGGTAGCCATTTCCTTCGCATCAAAAAGGAGCACACTTTGCCTACACGGGGACACGCAAGCAGATATTTGTTTGGTATGATCCGGTTTTAAATTTGAATGTTTATCCACCAGATTACATAAAGGTGCATACACATACCACAAAGCTAATAATAAATATACAAGATTCTAGGGATGGGAATCGAGAACCGGTTCTTCTTCAGAACCGTTGCCCAGTGAATCGATTCCTTGGAACCATTAGCGTGCCTGCTTAACGATTCCGCTTATCGGTTCTGCTCGTTGCAAATGCGTCACGACATCACACACGTGCTGCGTTGTTTTGGTTCAGAACGCAGCGAACATGGCGTTGAGGCAGAACCGCTCTAAAGTTTGGTTATATTTCACGTGAAACGACGACAATACGGTCACTTGCAACACTTGTAAAGTTTCCCTTTCGTTAAAGGGGGAACTACCTCCAATATGCAGAAACATTTGGCCACACAGCATCAATTCATTTGCAGGACTGTGTGTTTGATACACTACTACCTAGCGACACAAGTGAGTCAAGCCGCAGCGGAGCTAATGGGACGCCATCTGTTATCAGTGCCGAAGGTAACTTTAAATGACATGATAATTTGTCTGCGCAAAAATTATTATACTAATTGGCTAAAAAGGTGTGTCAAAATAAGAAATTTCATTGGTTACATTTTCGTGTGGTGACCTATCAACACATGGCTAATTTTAATATTCAAATGAGCCATGTGTTGATTTGCCACAACATGCTGCTGCCATCAGGCTATCAATCAAGCTCTCAGCGACAGAGAACGTAAAGTTAGCCTTTATCTATCCAGATCAGATGAAAACATTAGGAACAGTTTCTGTATGATGTTTATTAGACCTATGTAATCTGAATTGGAAGGGCACGTTTTCATGAGCTGTGACCATGCATACACACTCCTCCAAGACTGCCTTTACTGATAAACACACCTCATCGTACATTTGTTTTCCGGTTGTATTTATTCTGTCGGGCCAGCCTTTGCTCTCCAAGTGCATCAATGAGCCTTGGCCACCCATGACCCTGTTGCTGGTTCACTACTTTTCCTTCCTTGGACCACTTCTGATAGGTACTGACCACTGTAGACCGGGAACACCCCACACGAGCTGCAGTTTTGGAGATGCTCTGACCCAGTCGTCTAGCCATCACAAGTTGGCCCTTGTCAAAGTTGCTGAAATCCTTATGTTGTCCATTTTTCCTCCTTCAAACACATCAGCATTGAGGACAAAAGCTTCACTTGCTGCCTTATATATACCACCAACTGACAGGTGCCATGATAATGAGATAATCAGTGTTATTCACTTCACCAGTCAGTGCTCATAATATTATATGGCTGATCAGTATAGTTTCTCCTTTTGAAGCTTAGGGGGAAGGGTGAGACATGGGTATTGTAATCTGCAACTACACCCGTAGATACCACTAAATCCTACATGCTGGTCCTTTAAGTAAAAGTATTAAGTATTATTAACAAAGTATCAAAAGTAAAAGTATTAATTGTGCTGTAAAATGGCCCCTGTCAGTGTTTTAATATGTTTATCACTGCTGAATTAAGGTATAGCATTTTACTGCTGTAGATGTTTAAGGTTGAGCTAATTTGAACTACTTTTTATTCTGTTGGGTATTTAAATTTACAGCAATTCAACATATTCTATAACACCACCACATGTTTTTAGTGTTGCTATCCTGTAAGAAGAAGGACTCTCTAAAACTTTTCGTGAGCTCAGAAAATCAGCCCTGTTTACAAATTGCACTTTCCAGCTAATACAAGTGGGGATTTTAAATTGTTTATCTGAAGAAATAAGAATTTTCTAATCCTAAAGGAACGCTTAATCCTTCAGTGTATCACAAACATTCACATTTAAAAATCACCACATTTGCAGATGCACTTTTTCACTGGACACGAGGGGTTTGACAAGGAGTAGAAGTATAAAGTTACATAAAATGGAAATAATCAATCAAAGAACCTTGAATTTGGACTACTTAAGTGTTACATTCCACCTCTGTCTAAACATAATCTCCCCCCTAAACTTAACCGAGTAGTTTTAGTTGCCTCAATTTAAAATTGCATTAATTGAGTTTTGGCCTCTTGGGGCAATGGAAAGATATTGTAAGCTAAACACTGACACATTATCACCATGATACGTTAAACACCTGTTTAGAGGAGGTAGATCACAAAGCACTCATAGTTTATGAGTCATTTTGGAAGGTATTAACTAACATAACTTGTTATTATTTAGGTATAAACACATGTCAACTTTTGTTTACTGGATACAGACACCATGCATATTTGACCTCGTGGTGCAGCAAAGGCAGATAAGCTGCAGCTCTATTCCTTTCATGGAAGTGAGAGCAGCTGTTTTCCTTGAGCTAACATAAATTATTACTGTGTGATTTATTTAATAATTTCTATGCTTTATACTGCAGGGGAGTAGCAGATGTTCACCTCATCTAATAGCAAAATAAAGTTAAGACTAGTTTTTAAGACTAGTTTTAACATTTATCAGGATTTAACAGACGGATTAATGGCGTTGAGATAAAAAAGGAGGCTTATTAAAGTCATCACAGACCATTAATGCCTGGGCGGTCCACTTATCGGAGATCTATTATAGTTCAAATAGTTATTTTTGTTGCTCTGATTGAGCAACAAAGTAGGTGAACTAGGATGTGTATGTAGGTCACTTTATCTCTAAGATGTATAGTTCATCTCAGCACTTCGTCTGTGTTTCATAAAGAAGTACGTTGTCAGAACACTGGTGGGAAACAGCTTGCAAACAGCATATACAACTCTTGTGGTTTCCGAGTTGCTGACATTCTTCTTATTGCTTTATACATACTTCAGGTCAGTGGAAACAGCTTAACATCTGACTATTCATTACATACATCTTATGTACAAAGTTAATATTATATGTTATAGAATGACAATTGGTTCAGTTTACAGAATATAATTAAAAATTAAAGCCACAAATTAATCATGGCACAGCATACAGTATATTGAAATGATTGCCTTTAAGCCTTGTGTAGACACCCCACACACCTATTCAACATCAATGAAACCAAAAAAGTCGAGTGCATGCAAACAAACGCACACAGACACAACGTATTTGGCAGTGTGTAAAAAGGAAAAAGGAGAAATGTACTTATCTCCACGAAGAAGCTTCCTGTTATTGTGTATCTGGTGATGTACATTAAGCCGTCATTGAATCTTTCAACATCCATGTGGTTGTAATTTGAGGCATCATGGGCGTATTCCGTATAAATGAACGGGCAGATTCAGAAATCATGTGGGGAAATTTCATCATGTGTAAGTTCTGTTAATTTAATCTGTATTTATATGCCTATATGACTTTATGTTTGTATATGAACACACAAAGTTAACCTTTAGTCTGATATGGTTGTTGGTCATTTCCATACAGATTTAATGTAACATAACACCAGATGCTTTGAAAGTGCTATTTTGAAAGCCATAATCATTGTGAAGATATAATACTAAATACTAAAGATTAGGGCCATAGCTACTTCACTCCAACACTGTGGAACACCCTACCCAGTTACCTTAGAAATGCAAGTTATCCTGCATGTTTAAAAGTCAACTCAAGACCTACTTGATCAGGCAGGCTTCTAGTTAATGTATTAAATGTTTATCTCTTATTGCTGTCATTTATTTTTTTATTATTCTTACATAAATATATAGTATTTTGGTTTTAATGCAATACTGGACATGCACATTGAGCTGCATTTAATGTACAAAAGGTGCTATATAAATACTATTATTATTGTACAAAATACACAAAAAAACTTTGTTTTCTTAGTTTCATTTCCTTCAAAACTTCAAAAGCACTGAGCTTTGAAGCCAATTCGACATTGTGGCTAAACCATGTAAATAACATTTTATAACTGTACCCCCTTTCAAGTTAATAGAGGCCTAAACTGAAAGTCAGCCAGCTCAGCGGAAGTCTGTGGTCTGCTTGTTCTGGCAGCAAAATGCAGACACATATGTATATATATTATACATATGTGTATTCAATATTATTAAATAGAAACTATTATCCTCCCAGAAACACCTTTGCTGCCAAATCAAACTTCTTGTTTTTAAACAAAACACAGTCTGACAGATTCTACCACCAGGCAGCTAAATTCTAACAACAGCATGCTGACATGCTCAAAATAACAACCAATGTCACTGCTAACAGGATGATGTTTGGCTGGTACTGTATATTAGCAACACAAAAAATGTCAACTTCATGGTATCGCTAGAAGAGAAGTTTCCCATAAACACTATAAACTAGAGGGGCTAACAAAATGCAACATCTTGTTTATGTTGTTAAACTTGTAACTTCTGATTTGTGGTAGCATAGCTTTTATTTCTGATTTTGATTTGAATGTAAATTATGTTTAAAAACTTACCAAACTGTTTATCAAACACTGTATTAACACACACACACACACACACACACACACACACACACACACACACACACACGTTTGCACAGCTTTCTTTGACTTAATTCATTGTGAACTCTAATGTTGACCATAGTCAATCCCTGCCTAACCCTAACCTTAACCTAACCTCAGTTCACACCTTACCCCTAACTAGGACCTCAGAAATGACACTTTAACTGTTTACATTAGGACTGCTCTTGGGTCCCCATGAGGACTACTGGTCCCGACAACGTCAGTGTTTATAAGAAAAGGTCCCCAATAGGTAACAAAAATGTGCACCCATACACACATGATTTCATTTTGACTCTAAACATATTTCAAAACTTTTCCTGTTATATTTGGCAATGAAGTTCATCCCATAACTCTCACACAAATACTCACATGTTGTGTGATACACTTACTCACACACCTGGCCTGTTTATCATGTGTGTTATGTGTACCAAACTAAAACTAAAGCCAACTGCTTCTAGTCAACCATCACAGAAGTGCAGTACTAATGAATTAAGCAATGCAAATCGTAACCCCGCAGTGAGTCGAGTGATTAGTCATTTCCGAAGAAAGTCTCATTGTTTGGCTGCAATAATAAAGGCCAGTTATCATGGTGATCACTGTGTAGTTCTTGTGGCTACAGTTGTGTGTTTCAACCTGCCTGCCCTAAAACAACATCCAAAATACTGCCATGACATGTGGACTGTCACACCTAACATTGAAACAGCATTACTCATTCCTAAACGGTAAACAAGCTGTGGTAACATTTCTTTCTTTCTAATGAGCTACAGTACAGTTGGAATCTATATTTATTTGATATGAACGGTTCACCAACTGTTTTATCCTTGTCTGAATGTATGAAAGGCATCTTTTGGCAACTCACTCCCTGGCACAAACTCTCACGGACAAAGCTTCTTTTTTGGCTTTGTGTTAGATGGAAAAACACACAGGCATACAAGTTTACACTGATGTCAGCGATGCAAGGTCCCTCCGGCACCAACATGAGTAAGTGTAAGTCTGGCTCTCCTCCAGACGAGACATGATGACATTTACAGACCCAGCTGAGCTGAATCAGCCAGCCTTGATAAAGAGAAGAAAGAGGGTACTCCTCACACACTCTCACTCAGCCTCTTTGAGAAGAGGGGCTGGCATGGAAAATAAAAAAAACCCACATCCGGGTGAATGGATTTCAAGCTCAACTTCACGTAGGTGAGTCCAACACAAACTAAATTAAATTCCTTACAAAGTTACATGTACTCATTGAGTCAGCTGTTGAGCTGTGAAGAACTCGGGAGCCAAGGAGATTGATGGTTGGATTTGGTAACGATTAAATATCATGTTACCAGATATAAAATACTCTTTTCTGACAGTTTTTTTAAGTCTTGTCATCCGGAAACTGAATTTTACTTACTTTCATTAGTGATTAAAGTGTCATAGTGTACCATATGTTGTTTATGAGGCTTCCTTATTTTCAAAATAGCACACAAATGCTTCTTGAATGGAACTTGGAGTCAGGCCAGGTGAGGTTCAGTGACTTGCCATGTTCAATGATACCTGTAAAACTGTAAACCTGTTTGTGTGCTCGGGCCTCTGCCTACTTGCATAAAATCGTGGCACCGTCATAAAAAAATTAAAAAGGTGTAAAGAGAATTCTGATGAAGAGATAAACCAGCAGTGTCTGAATGGGTGGAGCACAGAGACATGCTACAAGTTTATACTGGAGAGATGTGTCCAAAACAAGATAAGTGTGTCACACTGAATCCATGTTTTGGACTTTCTGCAGAACAAACCAAGTTTTAAAGTCAGTCTGGGAGATAAGCTCTTGGTGCTGGCCTGGTTCTATCACAGGAAAAGGGATCTCGGCCTCTAGAGGATGGCTCCGTCGGTTCTTGCTGCTGAAGCTGGTGACGGTGCTGCTGTTCCCCCGCAGTGTAGGCCTCCCCCTGCTGGTGGGCTGTATGTTCAGCCTGCGGGTCCTGTTGCTGCTACGCTCCCCTCACATCTCCACCAAGCCCTCCACTGTGTTCCTGGGCCAGCTGGCTCTCACAGACAGTCTTGTGCTGCTGCACTGGATGCTTCAGCTGGGAGCGACACTAGCCTGGTGGATGGAGGCGGGCTGTGAGATTAACATGGGCGTCATGAAGGAGGGGGGGTCAGTTTGGTGGAGGGAGGCTGTGAGTGTGCTCTGTCAGCAGCTGCTTGATGCACATTACCTAGCCTCTCTGCTCCTGCTGGGGCTGCTGGGACTGGAGGCCACGCTGGTGTCACGATGGCCTCAGCAGACTCGGAGATTCAGGACTTCTCGCTGGGCTCAGCTGAGCTGCAGCTTGATCCAGGCGCTTGTGCTGCTAGAACTGTTGTTCTCGCTTCATTCAAAACTCATGCAGGACTCCAGGCATCAGACTTATTCCTTAACACTACAAAACTCCCAAACGTCTTCTCTGGGCCTGCCTCTTCTGTCTCTTCCAGCTTTCTCCTCCTGCATGAGGAGGACATTATGGTTGGTGAATTTATGGCTGCATTATGCTGTCCTCTATATCAAACCACAGAAGAGAAAGAGCTTCTTTCATTAAACGCTTTGGCAGTAAAATACAATGAATTTGACCAAAGATATTGTCTATTTTATTTTATTTATATAATAAAACTATATTTAATAATTGCTGATATTGATCTTTATATAAGCCTTAAAGCAAGACTGTGTATCTAACTATTGTTTGCTAAAATTAACAAACATTAGTCACCCTAAGCTTCTGGTGATACCAGATCAACCAACAGTAGCAAAAGATAAGATAATCCTTTATTGAGACCCCAGAGGGAAAATTTCAGTGTTACATGAGAACAACTGAGTGTGTTAAATACATAAAGGGTGATTTGTTTTTATTGCTTCTGCACTCAGCGTCTCATTTGTAAAAAGGATTACATTATTTTTTCTCTCAAAACATACAGACAAAAGAAGAAAAACAAACAAGTCAGTACAGTCTGAGTGCTGTAGGCAGGGTTGCTGCTTTCAGATCCTTTATTAAAGTGGAAACTATTTGAGTGTGTTTGTGTTGTATATGTTGTTTTGTGCCATTTTACACTGTATGCAAGTGTATGGGTGTATTTTGTAAATGTGTGTGTATGAGTGTGAATGTTTGGATGCATGTGTGTATGTAGATGTATGTATAGTTTTATATTTCCATGATACAATCATGTATAGATAACTGATAAATGATTACTTTTTATTACTGTAAATTTTGCTTCTATTCCGTTGTTTAACTGGAAGCATGAATTCTAATAAACTCAACTCAAGAGGCCAACTTCAACTGCAAATAATGACATATTTATTAAAGGCACACTATGCAAGATTTTTACCTTAATATAAGAGCTTCAAAGTCATTTTGATGGTAAATGAACTCGTAGTATAGCGAATCATCCCAATAGCAAAGGACGCCGTTGGCTCAACCAGCAATGCAAGTCTGAAAGGTGGCGTCCGGCCAAATCTTGCGAGAATCACGAATTGCTTTATGGTGCGACGTCACATACATCAGCGACATAAGAAGCAGCCTCAATGGAAGACACTAGCAGGCATTCACTCAGACGTTACCTGATCAGTAGACATCTTCGGAGTCTATCTTTGCCTGTTCGATGTGCAGCGCTTCCATCCTACTGAACATGTACCAGTATACAGGGGGGAGGGGATCAGGCTGTGAGTGCAGAGATGCAGAGCCTTATATAGACGGCTCTATGTTAAATAAAATGTTAAACGTTAAATACAAGTACTCCGCAGCGACTCTAGGGGTAGCTGTTTGACCAAACCGGAAAACTGCATAGTATGCCTTTAAGCCAACGAGACAAATCTCTCATAATTTATTGGATTTCTCAATTTACTGATTATCCCATGACCTCTTTTTGTTTTACTTTGCTTCTTGTTGTTTTTTTTATCCTTATTTGCTTGTTGTTTACTGTCTTTATAATGTGAAAATTGCTTATGAATGAAAAGTTTAAAGTTTAAAAAGATGAACTACATGCACTGTATGCGTGATAAAGCAAAGATATTGTGAAATGTGACTTTTCTTCCGTTTACTTTTGAAGTAAGCTGATCTCACATATTAACAGTGAGAGATTATGATCTGTTTTCATAATGTTAACATGTTCTCATCTTGCAGTCCCTTGTTTGTGTGATCTGGCAGACTGCCCAGGAAAAGATGTGAAATTAAATGACAGGACTCTGAAGAACAAATGTTTGTGGTATATCAGCACACAGCAACATCTTAAGTAGGATTTTATTTCATGTTGTATTCACAGTTAATAATGTGTGGTTAAAGGTGTGTTCTGTTTGTGTATCATGTCTCTTTTACTGCCCAACAGTTTACAAATGTCTGTGTTTACATTTTTCTGCAGTACATCCTTTGTACTGAAACAGAAACTGGGATGGCAAGATTGTTTTTCACCTAATGAATGGAAATGGCTCCATCTTAACTTGAATAATTCTTGTCATTCAACCACTTACTATGAGCTACTGTGCATATAAATCAACACCACACACACACACACACACACACACACACACACACACACACACACACACACAGTGGAAATGCATTTTCTGTGTATATGAGTCAAACGTTGGTCAAGCTGATAAGACAAATACCACAAACACACGGCTTTAGACTTGAAAGCAGTATCCGGGCACACAGTGGCTCATCAGCTGCTACATTCATGCTTCCATTACACAAATGTGACGCTGACGATATGACAGATCAGCGATGTACATCCTGAATGAGTTTAAGATTCCTTAAACTCAAACTGTTTGCATTTGAGTGTCAGGAATCTGAGACATAACCACATCACACACTGCAGTCACTACAGAGAAACGTTTGCTTTCACACTGAAAACTCCTAATATGGAGTTACACTGTACTGTGTCACCGCTGCATTTTACTTGGGAGTACTTCAGCATTTTATTGTTGTAGTGTGAGCTGTGTACAGCAGAGGGAAGCACAGAGCAACTGAGTGCGCTGTTGTCATATTGATGGAGCTGCTACACTAAGCTAATTAGTATGGCTGCTTCAGTGTGTGTTGGTTTGTGTGTATGTGTAGCTGCAATTTCAAGTGTTCCTGGAACTAATCAATTGAGGCAGAGAAGCGAGGAACAACAGGGTGAAGAGGAACGAGGAACACTGGTGGCAACTTCCTTCCCATGATGCTCTCTGTTTGGCAGTGGTAGGCCTGCACAGTGTACTTTGGCACTGGGGCTGTCAGTCAAGAGTAAACAATGTGGGAGGTCAGACTTTTAAAAATAACAATAGATCCTGTTTGTGCTCTTCAGCAAGTCAAGGTTCATTTGTGCACTTCAGACTTTGAAGGACCTGAGGAGAGGCCCTATGTGCCGTGATAATTAACTACAGACAAACAGAGTGAGGGGACTTCCTCTATCAAGAAATGAAAAAAAGAAATTGAAGAAAATATGTGTAAAGAAAATAAATACTAATTAAAAATATATTTGAGGATGGCACAAAGCCATTAAATCCATCACAAAGATGTTGTCATGTCGTGTACTTGTGACTGTAACACTGCAGACCGTCTTCTAGCCAATCACTGTACAGTAGGTCCTCTCGCTTTGACATGCAGCTCTAGCACCCTCTTTTGGACTGTGTAAATGTGTCCCAGGAAGTCATGAAAGTGTGACAGTGAGAATGCATGCACTATACCAAGAATCTATCACTAGACCTGAATCAGTTAAATGAAATTCTGCTAACATTAATTTTATTATTTACATGTGAAAAGGCCTTAAGAGGCATTAAATTAATACAAGAAAAAACTTTAAAGATCTGCAACACTTATCTGCCACTATTTTTTACTGAACTTGACACTTACTTGCACTTCACAATCAAAATGTTTTATATGAACAAAATTAATTAAGAGTTAGTCTAGTTATTAGAAATATACCCACATCCATCCTTTGTCATGATACACTTATTTCAGTTCAATGTAGTAAAAAAATATGTTGCAATATGATGTTGATGATTTCATTGAGGACACTGAAGTTTTATTACTGGCTACTTTTAGGTCAACAAAATTAATGAATAACCCAAAAATAAGTAAATGATTTGGTATCTCTCTAACAATTTTTTTTAAATGCTTTGAAGCTGTATCTATTTTCGGCTTATATTTGAAAATAAATTGGTAACGCATCATTTTATGGGGCTGTAATTTCACAATCATTTTCCAGAAATGTACTTGAAAATTGCCATTTAATCAGGGACGAATAGGGAAAAGCAAAGTGCTGAAACAGAATTTAGTTTATAGCTTAATATGAATGTCCTTGAAATTTCTAATTTAAATAAAACTTGCAGAAAATATAATTGACCTTCTATAATCAAATAAAAGACTTTTAACTTATTTTACTTTTTCTTGGGGCTATGTTGGCAGGACTTTTACCTCTGACCTCAGTATTTCCATACAGTCCTGGTAATTTAGGTCCTTTATCTGCTGTATCACGCCAATAAAAACAGATTAGAAGTGAACTAAATTCAATTATCCCCTGAAGTCATGCTACCCAGCCCCAACCCCCCCACCCCAGTCTTTCTTAATTTATGTCTTGATGATAATAGAAAAAGCCCTCTATTCAATATTCAATCAACAAATCTGGTTGATCTGTTAGGAAACAGGATGCACTCATCCGATTGTGCAGATGTCTGTTCCTTGTCAGCCACAATCTGTCTTCAGCCATGTCACAAAAAACTTTAAGCTTAAATTTAGCTTTACCAACTGGCAGACCTTTGGCAGGCCAATCTTTTTTAATTAATGTTTTAATTATCCAGCACAATCTAGCAGCAGCAATTCTGTATGTCAACCCCTCCCGACTTTAGTTTTATGAGCTAATAAAATTCAGAAAATTAAACAAACTGTCAGTTCCTCCGAATCCGGTATCACACAACTTGATTGTATCAACCTTGGAAGGAGATGTGCAGCATCTGAAAGCTAACAGTAAGTGCTTCATTCACGGACCTTAAAGACCACAAACCAAACCAGACATTTCAGTGAAGCCTTTTAGAATTTAAAATGCAAATTTCACATGATGACAGTTACACAATTCACCCTCAGGATATATGAAGAATTGGAGGATTTATGTCTCAGTAGGATTTAGAAAAACTCCATGCGTTAATCTTCAGTTGGTTACGCTGTTTTTTATGGTTCTCTCTAAAGAGTCCTTGAGACAGCTGCAGCTGATTCATAATGCTGCTGCTGGAGTCCCCACTAAGACCACAAAGTAGATCACATCTCTCCAGGTCTCAGATCTTTAAAGTGGCTTCCTGTTTGTCAAAGAGTTGAATTACAACCGCTTTAAAAAGCCCCGGTTCTGATCTGTTGATACATTATGACGACATTATGCATCACATATCTAGAATTAACTCCAACTTTTTCATATCTTGCATTGCACTGTAACTGCACTGTTTATCTGTCATATTCTATTTTAGCTTATTTTATCTCCTTGAATTGTCTTTTTGTTGAAAGGTGCTACAGTTAATTGGTTGCCCGCACAGCACTGTTAATGTTGGCATGAAGTTGCCAACTCTTACTAACTCTAGCTTTAAGTTAGCCAACCAAAAACTTAAAAAAACCTATATATTTATATTTATACCTTTGTTTGCCTCCAGATCCAGATCGATAACCTGCCTTTGGTCGGTGCGATCTGGGTGTGCTTATTGATGAAGGAGAGGCTTGTTATCATTTAATTTTCTGTGAAATGTATTTTTGTCATATAATGTCAGTGACATGTCTGCAGAGCTCAAACCTTCTGATGCTGTAACACTTGCTAATGGTCTATATAAATGTCAGAAGATCAGTCAGTCAATCAGAATTAAAGATGTCATTTCAAGTTTCACCAGGTAGATTCAGCAAGAAACACAGTAAAAAGAGCATTTTACATGTTGATTTCAATTATTTGAATGTGCACCAAAGGGGATGTGCTTCATTTACACATAAGCAAAAGTCAAACAAGAGATCTGCTGTCAGATGTTACACCCAGGTTTCTGGCTGCAGAATTAATGTTTTTAGATATGGAAGTGAAACTGAAAATTGTTAAGATATTTTGAGATGAACACATGATGTACCTGGACATTGTATTCTACCATACCACAAATACTGACTCAGTATTGCCCCAGTCCACATTTTACATATATGAGGGGCATATTGTGATATTTTATTGTAATATCAATATGTGTATATAACATTCGATATGGACACAGTATACTATATGAGGCAAACGCAAGCTCAGTATTTGACCTGGCAAAAAGCATATGAAAACATCTCCAGATATGATCCAGATACTGCAAGAATTACAAAAGGATATCTCCAGATTCTTGGGATTTTGGCACAGTCTGTTATACAAATAAACTAGCCTTGCCAAGAAGACCATGTTTGGAAATGAACTGATCAAATCTTTGACAGCTGACTTTTTACTGTATATACCCTGAGGTACATCAGGTACATCAGCCCATTATATCACAGAGACAAACAGCAGGCTCTGTCTGCACAGACCGGGGCCAGTCTGGTCAGCCTGTCTGCCTCGTGTCTCAGTCTGGAGAACGAGTGCTCACCCATGGCTGCTCATGCTGCACCTACCAGTGCTGTGGGGTAAACAGCCGCTGTGATCTCCGGCTGTAGCTGCAGAGTGTCTGTGGTCTCCCTTTGTGGAGTCAGAGCCAGCAACATTGATCTGGGCTCCACTCTGCTGAGGATGGTCTCTGCTAATCAGGTCTGAACGCTGGCCCACGGGGGCTAAGGTCAGTTATAGACGTATACACAAACACACTTAGGACACCCCATTGCAGTCATGTTAATATCAGTCCATAAAGCCTGTAAAGCACAAGACTCCTGTGTTGTAGTGCCTTGCTGCCTTTGTCCGGCTCTGTTGTCAGGGCAGAGGTATGTTTGGCACGACGGGGCTGCCCCTAAACCCTCCTGGATCCAATGAATGAGAGGATGGACGGAGGCAAGGGAGGGACAGCAAAGGAAATACACTCATCATCGCATTAAAGGAGAGCAGGACATAGGGGTCGAAGAAGAGAGATGGAGGGAGGGAGAGAGTGAAGGGGGGGGGTTGGGGGGTCGGTGCAGTAATGCAGTCTTTGTTCTGGTTGGTGTGACTCACAAAGCCTTGGTCGGGGCAGCCCAGCTTAGTTACCGTTACCAAACAGAGAGAATAAGGAGGGAGGAGTGTGTGTGTGTGTGTGTGTGTGTGTGTGTGTGTGTGTGTGAGGACTGGGGGAAGTTTTTGCAACGCAATCAAGCCGTACGTCTTCTGGTTCATCCAATCATGTAATTTCAACACAGCTTTTGCTCCTCTGTCTTTGCTTTCATTAGATTAGTTTTTTGGCCGTCAGTTCATTACAGGCACATTATAGTTGTACAATCAGCTTGTCACACTTGGTTACATGGGAGTTTAACCCAACCCTTAACCAACATGGATGTCATGACAATTTTATGGTAATGTGAAGAAAAAACTAATTTCTAAAATATTATAAAATCACTTTTTATACAAGTTGAAATCGGAAGATGTGTCCTCTTTGTGGGATATTGTACAGAGATCACTCTAAATAGCGTTTAGCGGAAAAGTGCTGATGACGGCAACGCTGGGCAGTGGGATGATCCAGACTGAAATGTCTAGATAACATATAACATTTGCTACAGTCGTATGCATCATAATCCTTAACTGGGGTGGTTTGGGAACCGGTGGGTGACTGGTTCAAGTCCACCATGAACTATGGTACGGAGTGTGGACTGGTACTGTCGAGGTGCCCCTTCGATTAAGGCCATTTAATGGCTGACCATCTTGCCCCATATCTCCACATTTGTATATCCATGAGCCCTGTGTATGTATGTGATTGCACATTTCAGGTGAGGAAAATGTCCTAGAAACTAGAGCCTTTTCATGCGTATGAAATTTTATGTTATTGTAGTATATCATAAAACCTTAATCTGAATTTATCGTTTACCCCAATTGACCTTTTACCCATAATGGTCTAGTAAGTGTTTGTTTTTCTTTCTCATTCTCAGGAAACTCTTTAAGAAGATTTAAGAACACTCACTTGCCAACTAATGAAGCAACACCAGCTGACTAAATAAAGGAAAATAACCTACTGGAATTATGTTATGAAACGTCATTAAGGAAACATGTTTTTATCACAATGTGTGACTCATACACCTCGACACCAACAATCAAGAGGTTAAAGACATCTGGTGGTGTCTAATGTATTGTGCGTGTGTGTGTATGTGTGTGCATGATCAGCATGTATATGTGTGTGTGTGTGTGTGTGTGTGTGTGTGTGTGTGTGTGTGTGTGTTCAGGTTATGCAGTAAGCAGGATGTCCTGTCCTCCCTGTTGCTATTGTGGAGTGGTCAGCCTGCCAGACGCAACCCCCAAAGACCACTTCCCTTCTGTCAAGTGCTTCTCTCTCTGTCGCTCACACCCACCCACACACACACACACACACACACACACACACACAGACACACACACACACACACCGCCCCATGCCAGCCTGAACACAATGGGAACCTGTCCAACACCGCCCTGTCACCTAGCTAAAAATAACTCTTTTGGGAGCCTCACACATGAAGGTTGTATCGTAACAATAGTGTGGCAGGACTCAGCCGAAATAGCTCTATGCTGTTATTCTGAGGTATCACAACATCGCCAGTAATAGTGTATGTCATCCCCATTTTGAACTTTAATTATACAGTGAGTTTTTTTTTTTTTTACTGATTTAAGATTATACATATAGTTAGTACACAGATGAAGACACTTGTTAGTCTCACCTGAGGAAGATCAGTCTCTCTCTGATGAATTAAGAATATGAATATGAAGATAGGATTGGAGTATTAGCAAACAGTAACAGAATTATTGGAGTTTCTTTTATCTTTTCACAGCATGTTATTTTCCATCTAAAAAGTATGGATAAAGATACTTTACTAATAAAGTAGTAATATTACAATTTAATGCTCAGTTACAAGCATTTGATATTTAATTATACTTACTTTAAAAGGAGAAAGTTACAAACCAAATGTATTTAAAGTAAAGTAGCCATAATAGAGAACCAGCCCTTTCAGACTGTTATAGATTAAAGTGTATTATTATTATTATTATTATTATTATGGATGCATTAAAGTATTAGAAACATGTAATGTTATTACATAAGAAATTATTATTTTATAACCAGGGCCGTGTCCAGAGGGCCACCCCTGAAATCTGACATTATCCTCTTCCCCTCCACACTGTTTTCAGTGGCTGTAGCAGGCTCCGGTTTAAAGCTAGAATGAACATAGTGGTTTCATATGGAACTAGATGGCCTAACGCATCCACTGGCACAGGCATGTCAGGAAAGGGGCTAAATAACGCTCCACAGCTTTTTCTCCTATTTCTGCATACTGGGTTGCGTAAACAGTACTGGAATTGCGTAAACTCAGAATGACTACAAAGTTGAGACACATACTTCATCCCACGCCTGCATAAGTCAGTGCCCCACTTGTGCCACATCAGTCAAAAAAGTCATAGAAAGTAACCCAGTGGTCACTGTGACAGCAGAAGTGTCTCTTATCACATTAATATAACGTTACAGTGAGGTTATTACCTATAATAAAAGTGTTTTTAGGTCCTAATAAGCTGTGAGTTCTCCAGCTGATGACACCAGCCTGTGTCCACCCCCCTCTCCCTCTACACAATCCCCTATTCACCCTCTCCTCCTCCTCCTCCTCCTCCTCCTCCCTGCTGCCCAGCCGAGGTGCTATTGTCTCGTTTCCTGTGGCCGTGCGCGCAAGCAGCTCTCCGCGCACAAACGCGCGCACAAACACCCCGGGTGAGCAGGCGCGGTGGATGTGATGCGGTCCCGTTTCTAGCGGACGGACTGGACTAATTGAAGAACTCTCGCCTGCAGGATTTGTTTTGTCGCTAGCCAGCTTAAAAGCGGTTCCATGACTTCTTGGTGATATTTGGGTGCAGTTTGACTCGGGAGAGGCTGAGCAGCACCAAAAACATCGGAGAGAAAGAGTATGGAGTTTTTCTTTTGACAGCTGCGCCGCTGCCGGACTGACAAACATCAGTGACCAGGAGGTGAGCTGTCACCATCCATTCAGCTGCCAGTAAGTCTGCTCTGCTTTGTCCTCTGACAATAACATTTTTGTGTAGTTGACAAAAAAACATGTTTTGTCTTTAGTTGAGGACATGTTTTGAGTAGCTGCTTTCCACATGAGAGGATGAACGCACTGGTGTAGCCACAAGTTTTTTACTTATATGCCAGTGGTATAGAGCTGACAACATGTATACATAACTTAGATTGGCTGTGTATGACCAGGCTTTCAACTGTTGTGGTTTAAGGGACAAATAAAGCCTCTCCATACAGGATAATAGTGAAGTAGGTGGGTTAATTGAGATACAGTGTAATTAAGATCTATACACAACCCTACAAAACTGAGCATTTTCTGATAAGATTTGGACATTTTAAAGGATATTGTAGATTTAACATCTATCACAAAATGTGTTTGGGGACACAAAACAACACCTTTCATTTAGGGTTTCACAGTATGGTAAAAAGGCTGCACTTTTATTGAGTTCATTGATCCCAGGTTGACTGCTAAACACGCCACTATTAAATACTAAGAAAACCATTAATATTCACATTTTTGTGAAGTGCTTCAAAATTGCACAACGAACGCCAATTCTGTTAATTGAACTGTTTCAGCTCTAATAAAAATATAACACTATAAACCTTTTAAAGTAGTAGAAGTAGTGTTCATGATATTGGGGCAGTGTGATGTATAATGAGACATGATTTCTGATTAGAAACATACTCCATAAGCTCTCCAGGCTGTAAGCAGTGAAGATGTCCACTCCAAGCCCGGTTGTCCTCCACCTTCATCTCTCCCTGCCTTCTTCCTCCTTGCATGTGAGAGAAAGGAACAGCTGGATGTGAGCTGAGCCTGAACTCGATCCGTTCAGATCAGCGGGTCCCAGAGGCCTGTTTCTGTCACTGCCGCGGCTGACTGCGGGGGGAAACCCTTTAACTGTGCAGCTGTCCACGACCTGTACATGAAATCTATACACACATGCACTCAGGTCTGAAATCCCTCGGCAGGACTTCTATAAGTCCTCAAAATATTTAAATGTGTCTCTGCTACAAGTTTGAAGTCGAGATTCTTGTTTCTTTCAAACATAAACTGTATAGCAGCCAATTTCAGTGTTCTATAGACTCGGCTCCCTGCAGAAACAACATCAGCTGAAAATGAAGCCGGCACTGTCAGAGGTCCTGGGACTGAGCCACGGTACACAGAATCCTACAGTGTGTGTGTGTGTGTGTGTGTGTGTGTGTGTGTGTCTGAGGACTGGCACATGTAAGTGTTTTCCTGCTTGTGTATGCACGTGTGGAGACTTGTGCATATGTAAGTGTGTGTTTGGTGCAGACGGGTACAGTGAGAGTATTGTGAGGGCCGGTGGAGGCTTTCTGGGAGGCGTGTGAAAACGCAGTAAAGATGTCACACTGCAGCTGGCACAGGAGAGGCCTGATGGACTGCTTATACTCACAGCGTTGCCTTTGTGTGTGTGTGGTGAAAAGACATATAGAGTGAATCTTATCCAGAGACACTCACGCAGAGTTTTACAGGCGATGCCAAAGGCCGACCACCTCACTGCTGCTTTAGCTCTGTTGCATAACACAAGATAAGGACAGTTTAGCTTGTTAAATCGGGTGCTGTAGGGATTTCAAATTGCATTCCCATAGCTTGAAGTCTTACAGATAAAAAGATAAAAGATTGGTCAAAATCAAAACGGCAGAGGCCGAGATGTCCTGAGGTTTTAGTTCATAATACAGGTCAAGCTCCAAAAATGCTGGACAGTGTCATCACAGCCTCTTTCAAACACACAGGATTTTACAGAGCGCCCTCCAAACCTACATGAGACATTATACAACTGTTTTCACATGCTGTGCAGTGCTCCTCATGACTGAAACTGATGTGTTAAATTGGTGGAGTTTCCCTTTTAATACTAAGTTAGAGAAGCTGTTTTGGCTGAGACTCATTGAAATGTTCACAGATTCAGTCCAGTACTGTATCATTTGTTTGACACATGCCTTTGCGGTTCAGTTTGTACGATATTTACGCCAGGAAAAACTACTGAGCGTGCACTGTGAATTACAGTGTGTCAGTGTTTGTGAATGTTTACACAGCGTTGTAGTTGTTTATGTTTACTTGCACAGTAGGTGCAATGAGATAATCTGTGCCTTCTACACTGAAACAGAACTTTGTTGTGCTGCTTAAAGGTCCAGTGTGTAACATTTAGGAGGCTGTATTGGCAAAAATTGAATAAAATATTCATAACTATGCTTGCTATGCTATGCCACCCCCACAGATATATATAATTGCCACATTAAAATCCCTAAGGAGGCGTCTTCTCCAAAATTCCAAAATCTATGAATATGCAAATCTTGGTCAAGTTTTCCTGCTGGACACAAGATGTCTCCTACTTCACTATAAAGATCATTCTGTATGTGCACTGGCAGCTACATCTACAATACACTTGTATAAGTTGCTTACTGGATCAGGCTTGACTTCCAAACTTGTGATGTCAGAAATCATGCTCATAGGCCCATTAATGTAAAAAAATATCCTTCTGGTGTCACATTCAACTGCAGGAACAAGAAGAAAAAAAGATTTATGAGTGGAGGGGGACTTTAAAAGATGCCATGATCATAAAAAAATCAACATATTAGTATTTAATATGTTGTCTGCTGCAGTATAAAATCACAAACCTGCAATCATGTAGTTGGTGTAGTGTACAATGTGTAACAAAGAAATGTGTAATTTCTCATTCAAGTCTTTGACTGGATCCAAACTTTTTTTGTCAAGCAACAAGTCAACACATCAGAAAAGTACATATGTAATTATTTGAATGAATCGGTCATTAACCTTCTGAAAACGGACCTCCGGCGGCCGGCCGGGCATTTTTTGCCTCTTGTATAATCATCCTAATTTTTATGATGGGAGCCAAAACTCAACAAAAAAGTTTATTGTGTTAAGAGAGATAACATAGTTAGCGCTCTGCAAACTCAACACTTTCCCAACAATCTAATTCCTGTTCTGACATCACACATTCACACAAATATTGCTTCAAGTAAATGACTAGAAAATGCATTGTCTTTCACAATGTCAAATCATTCTGATTGTTCATGTCTGACAACAAAACTATTGTGTTCCTTCAAAACGTTGCTCTTTATTGGTGGGAGCAGCTCTGCAATGCTTTGTACCAAGCCGACATGCTGATTTATTTACTTCCCCCAGTTGGAACTCAGCCTTAGATACTTTCTGTACTTGGCTTTCACATTGGGTTCATGAATGAATGTATCTGAAGTGTGTTTTGCCTCCTAATCTACAGTACATGTTTCTGTCTCTGGCAGCCATTTACCTCTCACAGTCCTGATGACAGCCTGAGTGCCGCATGCCACACTGCCATGTGAATTAAAACCCTGTGGACAGATGAGACTATTTATACTGACAGATAACACATGAACAGCATAAAGACACACACTCACAAACATGCAAATACACTGAATGTCACATATGTATACGTATTTAATAATCCTATGTATAAATACATAGGATTATTAAATACGAGGATCTATTGGCAGAAATTGAGTATAATATTCAAAGGTTTGTTTTTGTTAATGTAGAATTGCCTCCAATGTGGAACTGTCACGTTTCTACAGTAGCCCAATCCAATTAAATGTATTTGTATGGCGCCAAATAATAATAGAAGTTATCTCAGGACACTTTTCAAATAGAGCAGGCCCGAGACCGGAGGGTGAAGCGAGGGAGTTGCCTCTGCAACTACACCACTAGATACCACTAAATCCTACACACTAGACCTTTAAGATTTATGTTTATGTAACTCAGAATAAATGTCTGCCTTCTATACACTTAAATACACTAAATCTGTGCTTGGTATAATGGTTAAATGTGCTTCAGCTTATGGAGGACTTGAGCTGTTTGCTTTCTTGGTCAGTAACCTTTATAGTGAGGAAGTGACCGTGTGTTTTTTTTCTTTCTCTCCACAGGATGACTGACCAGCCCTGCAGGCCTGCATCCTGACTGTCTCTGCCTCCATTTGTGTGTCTGAATGTCCAGCATGACTTGGAGGGGACTCAACTGGTGGATCCCCTGCTGATACTTCCGATCCCCAGATATCAGCCCCGACTTCCCCCTTTCCTGACGACTTTGGTGTACACTTCCCTCCCTGTTTAAGCCGTCAGCATGGCTAGCCTGGTGCTCAACGAGACTGGAATGGAGGACTGCGGCATTGACGACTCCTTCAAGTACAACTTGTACTCGGTGGTCTACAGTGTGATCTTTGTCTTAGGCCTGATCACCAACTGTGCTGCCCTCTTTGTATTCTGCTTCCGGATGAAGATGCGCAACGAGACCACAATGTTTATGACTAATTTAGCGTTATCAGATTTAGTATTTGTTTTTACACTGCCATTCAAGGTCTTCTACAATGTTAACCGCCATTGGCCATTTGGAGATGGACTGTGTAAGGTATCAGGAACAGCCTTCATCACCAACATCTATGGCAGCATGCTCTTCCTCACCTGCATCAGTGTAGACCGCTTCTTGGCGATAGTTTACCCTTTCCGTTCCCGCTCCATCCGCACACGGAGGAACGCAGCGCTGGTGTGCGCCGCCGTGTGGCTGACCATCGTTGGAGGAGGAATATCTGTGACCTTCTTCTCCACCATTAACAGCAAACACAGAGCCACTACATGCTTTGAGGGCTTCTCCAAGAGCACCTGGAGGACCTACCTGTCCAAAATCACCATCTTCATCGAGGTGAGTGAGGAGTAGGGGTGTCACGATTCTCCAAATCCTCAATTCGATTTAATTTTCGATTTTAAAGTCACGATTCGATGCAATTTTCTTTTTTTTCATATTACTATTAATGCATTCCTTATATGTTATTTACTGTTTTTGGCCTTTTCCTATTCTGTTTCGGAGGGCTTTTATTTTGAAACCGTTCCAACCGCGAGGTTGTAAACAGAACAAACATTAAACAGAGATGTGAACATAGTGAAATGAAACAACACAGAATGATGATTTGATTGTTTCAGCACATTCCGAAGAGACCCAAGGTTAGTGTTCATGGAATATGTACTTATCAATGTGCATTTAAGCCTTAAAGTAATTTTGGACTGTAACTAGATCATCTTTTCACTTGCTAAGTTGAGTAGGCTAAGTTAGTGTTAATTGACGTGAATGAACGACAAAATACTTCCACACTGGTGATTTCAGAGTAGCAAGAGGGGCTTCGATTTCGGTCGGTTGATGTGTATTTTTTAACTGGCTGCAGCCTAAAATTAGAGGAGTGTTGACGCCGCAGTTCAGCATGTATGTGTGTTTTTGCGTCTTGGCATACATGCTGGACGTGACATTGGGGGTGTGGCTGCATCGTCGATTCTACCTTTGAGTTCGAAGTTCGAGATTGAGATGTAATTTCGATCAATCGAAATCGTGACACCCCTAGTGAGGAGAGACACAAATTAACATACACACCATTTGTACACTTTTTATTATGTTAACCAGACATAACAGTGATGTTCTACTGTGTAATGTTATGTTACATTGTTTGTTATTTTCCAGATTGTGGGGTTCCTTCTCCCCCTCCTGGCCAACTTGGTATGTTCCTCGCTTGTTCTGCATACTCTTCGGCGTCCGGTGACCATTGGTCATGGCTGTGACAGCAAGAGACGTGTCCTACGAATGATTTTGGTCCATCTGGGCATCTTCATAATCTGCTTCGTCCCTTATAACTCGATCCTCTTTCTGTACGCCCTTGTGCGGACCCAGGCCCTGGCTAACTGCGCGGTGGAGCGCTTTGCCCGGACTCTTTACCCCATCACTCTGTGTCTGGCCTGCCTCAACTGCTGCCTGGACCCTGTGGTCTACTACTTCACCTCAGAGAGCTTCCAAAAAAGCTTGACCATGGGAGGCAAAGGGTCCGGCTCCCGGCCCGAGAGTATCCCCCGCAGCGACACTGAGACCCAGGACACAGCAAACACACTCCCCAGAGACACACACACTCTGGCCAGCAATGGAAAAGACTCAAAGACGTCTGAGAGTCAGTTCTGACTCAGCAGGGAAGAAGGACGGTAAAGAAGGACAGGGTGGATTTGACAGGAGCCCTGAATTTGAAAAAATAAAGCAATCAGCTGTTTGGTCCTGGAAGTGACAAACACATAACTCAGCAGATTAGTTAAGTCCTGAAGGTAAGTCCTGAGGTATGGCCTGGGCTTTACGGATTAATCCACCACTGGAGAGCAGAGGAATGTATCTGTGTGTGTTTATTATGAGAGAACACTACAGGGACCAGAGACCCAGCCACATCAGGACTATTGTCCAGAGACATGCAGAGACAAAGAAAAGAGACCCCATCGCATCATCACTCAGGCTTAACACACAGAAACATTCACAGATGCACTGGATTGTGGATAAAATGGAGATTTCCGTCCACATTGTTGAAATATGCTGTTTAGTACTTTTGTAACACGCTGAGCCCTTAAGTTTTATTATTATAAAGTTAAAGCTTTCACATTCTATCATTTTAGACATTAATGTTATGACACTCTTTACCCATTGTTATCATAACACAGCAGCGCGCTGACCTGCTCAGTTAAATGTGTCTTATGTTGAAGTTTGAGGCCATTAAATGTCTGTTTTGAATCGCTTTCGTGGCTTCATTTATTATTTCTGTCCCCCGCCTCATGCCTTTTAGTTTAGTCAAACATAAAATTAACTGGCCTTTGTCAGCATGACTGTAGGTTTGAACTCATGGGGGAGTTTTTCTACTCTGTCTCCTCCATTTTCATGAAGCAGCCAGTGCGATCTTGTTCTCGGCAGCTCTGATCCAGCCGAGGACCTTGGCCTGTGTGCTGTGTCACAGGCCAAATGCTTATTATGACTGGAGCAATGGTCCATTGTTTGCTTCTGAATGAGGTCTCTCTGTCTTAATCTGGCCTTAGACTGTAGATCTGCTCAGGGTCTCTTACACGCAGCAGTGCGCACACACTCCAAAGTACGAGTGACAAAAAAAATCATCGTGTTGAGCTGCACGAAACGCGAATCAGTCATTCGTCAGTGGATCCAGGAGTTTGGTTTGATTTATGGGCCATTTAGTGAACACGTCTATCCAAAAGAATTTAAGTATGATATTGCTACATAAACTTTAATGATGCAGGACCCCAGGACGGACAGCAAATGGCAAAATTGCAGTGAAATCAAACTTTGCTGATAAACTGTCTTGACTGTGTTTTGAGGGAACATAGAGCTCATGGAGGAAGCTTTCATAGCTAATCTACTTTTATGTAATCCCTCTCTGTCTGACCCATAAAAGAGCAAGCAGTTGTTTGCGGAGAGTTTGAGACAGGAGTTGTTAAAAAATTCTTGAACTTCGGGTGCCTGGTTAGCTCAGTGGGTAGAGCTGGCAACCCATGTACCAAGGCTGAGTCCTTGCTGCAGTGGCCCAGGGTTCAAATCTGACCTGCAGCCCCCTGCTGCATGCCATCCCCCCTCTCCTGTCTATCTTCAGCTGTATCTATCAAATAAAAGCAGCAAAAAAAAAAAAAAAAAAATTCTTGAACTTTCCAGTTAGCATCGAAGCTAGCTAGATAGCTGACAGTGCATTGCACTACTATAAGGACCAGCAGCAGGTTTGTCTGTATGTTTTCTGTATACATACGCCAGGTTCCTGCTGGAATGAGGAACCAATTTAGAACATTTGGTCTGGGACATTATACAAGATATATTAGTACAAGTTGTTTATGCATTCTTTCATAGAGCCACGCAGAGTTAGAGATTCATGGCCATACTTGCGAATGTCATAGGCCCCTATACCTGCAGCAATGGTATGTGCAGGGTGTGAGAGATCCAAGTAGGCCGAGGGGTAGCAGAGAGGAGGACTAGATAGAAGTACTGCAGAGCCCGAAGTAAGAAGAGTGGGAGTGTGGAAAAATATGCAAGTCCTTCAGTGGTTCATGTCAAGAATGTGCCAAAATATTGCAACAGAAGACACTCAACCCTTCAAATGTCTCCTTTAAAGGAACAATCTGCCCTTATGATTGTAGAAGAAAAAACCTGAACTGTAGATCACTAGATTGTGTGTGAATATTGGCCTGTTCTGACCTCTAGTGGCCATAAGTTGGAACAGACATTTTAGTGAAAATACCATAATGGTCCAGTAATCATTAACTATCATGTCTTTCTTTGTGTTCAACATGTTTGCTGAACTTCAGTCTGTTCCGGTTCTACCTCTCTGTCTGTTGAGATGAAATCAAACTGCAGGGTACCGGAAGCTTTGCAAGGGCCACACACGTACCTCCCTCAGCATGAGAAAGTTATCTTCTTAGAGTCACACTTAATGTGTGCAACTCGTGGTGTGAAACCAAAAGGGTGGAGACAACGCTGCCAATTTGTCTTTCCGTGGTTTCTGTATTTGAGAGACATGGGAAAGCATTTTATTCTAGGTACCACATAACTGAAACCATAGCCAGGTTACAAATAGCTACTGTACTTCTCTAAAGCACATGTGAAAGGTATACACACATTTACAATTAATGATTTGATGAACAACAGTATTAAAAAAGGAAGTGTATGATCTGATGGGGGAAGCGGTTGTCCACTTGCATTTTTGTCATCTCCAAATATTGCAGGATACAAATTGAGACACTACATTACACTATTGCAGTGTAGATAGTAGTAGGGTATAAAATGCATGAAAAAGAGTCCACTGACCATATCACCTGCTCTGGACATCTTCACAATTTCAGAGGTAAGAGGGAACTAACATCTGCTCCCTCTCTGACTTCTTTTAGATTAATGTTTTTTACCTGTAAGTGCAGTATTTTTTTTTTTTCTTATATTGTATGCATATTAAGTTGTGGCTATGGTTGCTACTGACGTAGCAAATGGTAGATAAACATGCACATGCAACAGGGCAGAGCTTCCCCTTCCTCTTAGCATCATACCAGAACAACCCACACCAGACGCCATCGCTTCATGCAAGTACACATTCAAAGAGAAACCACATCACTACTAATGCTGACTTGTTCACATGCAAACACAGACAGGTTTTTCTCTCTGCTGCTGAAGTGTGCCAGGAAGGTTAGCTGTTGACCCCGCTCACTCGAGGACGGTGTGTCTGTGCGTCAGCCTGCAGTTTACAGTAGAGTGTGAAGCTGTTGGAGCATGTGGTCACTGGTGGTCAATCCTGACTCTGACCTCTCCCCTCCACGCTGATCATATAAGGTAACGACACAGTTTTGTTTTTGTAAAGAGAAATAATGTCTGTGAGGAACTCAGACTGCTGTGCTTTGTCTGAGCATTTGCGGTCAAAGTCATGTTTCATTTTGCTGATGTTAGGGGGATTTTGTTATCAGATTTTCTTTCACTTAGCATTCTTTCATATCACATCTAAAATCAGTATCAGTATGCACATACGTGTTTCATGTTTAAAGCATGTAAAAAGTGTAAAAAGTAAAAAAAACAAAAACATTTTTGTTTAGTATCATGCAGGCTAAACTATATCACTGAAGCGCTATGTGATGTAACCGTTATGAATTGTCATCAGTGGTTTTATTTTAAACTGAAACATAATACATAGAGTTTGAGAAATTGTTCAAATGCGTTTTGAAAACAAATTTCAATCAACAATGCTGAGAAAGTTCAAGTCATCATAGTATCCTGTGTTCCTTAAACTCAAGTATTAGGACATACTGTTGCACAACTTTCAACTGTAGAGGCAACGTGAGAGGGTTCGTTAGCCGATTGTGGCAGATTGATAGCCCTCAACAGCCAACTGAAGCACAAGTCACAACCGCTCGAAATTACAGTAAAGCAGCAAAAAATTGTCACTGGCTCTCTCTTTCCCCTCTGGGATCGGTAGAGGAAGGGTGTGGTCTTGTCTTGATGGTAAAAGGAAGGGCAATGCTTAGGTGATAAGCAGAGTTAATGCTCTGTCTGTCTTTCACACATTTCCTGCTGTAATCTTTGGCCTGACAGAGTCATCTCTGATTTATTAAATTGTCTGTTTTTTCACAAGCCTATTTCATTTGGCATCCAGCAAAACACATTGCAAAACTGCCTTTATACATTAAGAAAGCTAAGGTATGATTTCACAAGATGATACACACAAGAATGAGGTAATATTTCAATTTTCTGCTGCATTTATGAATATATATGATATAATATGTAATATTTCTATCTACTAATAAGGCAGTAAGTTGTAATTAATGGCTTTATTAATATTTGACAAATCACTCAGCTACGATTTTACTGTTGTGGGGGGATGAAAAATATCATTGGCCGCTGTTTATCCTCCACCAGCATGACTCCTTGCTTCTTCTTTTTAGCCTACATTAGCTCTTTAGTTCATTTAGAAGACCTGCAATTAATTGTTGGACCACTTCTGGAAAATCAACCACATATTAATATTCAAAACTGCAGATTTGATGCATTGTTGTAAATCCCTTTATTAAATGCTGAGGGGAACTTAACATAAATAACTGTCAACTATTTTATACTAAATTGCAAGAAAGTCGTATTGCTGCAATTCTGCAAGCTCTATCTATCTATATCTATATAGATGTGATAGCTGATTACAAAATGAGGAACAATAAAACAACCCATAAAGTCTGCCGTTGTGAATGTTAAAAATTGACTGTGGTCTAGATGTCGTCTTACAGAGTTGTGATAAGTGGTCCAACGGTCTGATAGAGTGGTCTTTCAGAGGAACTAAAGCGTTAAAATGTGTCATGCAATAGGAGGATAAACATCAGCCAAAGTTGAGAAACAAAGATATTTTTGTGGAAACAGTGTTTGGCAAAACTATTGCAACAGCCTGCATCTGAACTTTTAAGCCATTATGGACAAGAAGTCCTTAAAATGATCAGAAAAATGTTAATCTGAGAAAGATTGTGTTATATGATTAAAAGCAACAGAAAAGCTACTAATGGACCTCGGGGTGAGATTTCCTTATTATGATCAGTGCTATAGTGCACTAATTAATTATTTGTTAATGTTACAAAGCCATTAGTTACAACCTATGAGGTCTTTATACAAGTTCCTTATTACTGTAAAAGCAGTAAATAATGAATTGGTAACAAATTAATTATTTCAGAAATGTATCACATATGTCTTGAGTGTCATAACATTCAACTCATTTTTCTCTTTCAGGTGAAATGGGTGTCTGAGTAAATTCAAATGACTCTGAATACATCTGATTTGAGGGAGGGGTCCCAAGCCAACTCCTCCATACAATGTGGCTACAATTTGAGCAGCTGGGAACATCGCATGGATAAGATGTACACCTACTTCTACCTGCTGCTCTTCATACCCGGGCTGCTGCTCAACACCATTGCTCTGTGGGTTCTCTGCAGACATATAAGGTACACGTACAAAAACACACATGTGAAACCTCCAACCTGTTCTGCACATGGCTAACTCTTTCTGTATATTGATCCACAGTAAGAAGACCAAGGCGGTGATCTTCATGATAAACCTTGCGTTAGCAGACCTGGCCCACATCCTCTCGCTGCCCCTCAGGATTTATTATTACTTCACACACACTTGGCCTTTTGGACATGGCGTCTGCTTGTTCTGCTTCTACCTAAAATTTCTCAACATGTACGCCGCTATAGTGTTCCTGGTAAGCAAGGCAGTGAACTGGAATACTGTGAGGATACTACAAGGAACTTAAATGACAGCTTTGAAATTTCTCATTGATTTAAAAGCAGTCAAATTAAATGGGATGACTGAAAGAATATATGAGCAGATTATCAGAGGAATTAGGGAAGACAGTCTAATGGAATCCCACTGAGTAATGACTTTGCCTTATATACATCAGTGTTGTCAGTAGTGTAGTGAGTGTTTGGATATGGGTAATGTGATAAACAAATTTTAGTAAACCCAAAACACCAACAAACCCAGAACTTGCTGGCTGGAAGGAGAGAGAGAAAACCAACTGGGTCAACCCCCTATATAGCCGAGCAATCAGGGAGCAAGTAAACTTATGTGTAGCTCATCTTCCAGCCACACCCCCATACAACTCTGTCTCCTGCACAGAAAAAGCCAAAACACACAGAACAACCACAACCAGAGTGTTATTTTGGCATAAAACAGCATAAAGTGAAATACATGTCAGTCCTTTTTTATGTTTCTTTATGAGAGATGTGTAGCATAACCCTAAAAGCAACATGTGTTAAAATGTGAGGAAGACAACAAGATAAAGTAAATAAAAATATAAAAGCAGTGAAATTCCAATGCTTAACTTTGGGAATTCCAGGAAGTCATTTGAATTTGCTGCAATCTCAGAAGTCCTTGGAACAGAGGTACTTCCTGTGGCTCTAAATCCGGTGAATAAATTTCCCCGTTTTTTCTGTTTCCAGGTGTGCATCAGCATACAGAGGTGTGTCTTCCTGCTTGACCCGTTCGCCGCCCGCAGGTGGAGGCGGCGCTATGACCTGTTGATCAGCATCATAGTGTGGGTGGTGGTTGGTCTGGCCTGCTCACCTTTCATTCTGATGCGGAGCAGCAGCAGCAGCAGCACCACCAATCCCAGCATCTTTACTCAGACACAGACAATCAATAACTATTCACTGAATGCCACTTCTACCCAACATCCCCAAAGTTACACCAAGCTCAATGCATTTTCGAGTACAAGCCCCAGTAGTTCCAAGACAGTCTCCAATGGAAGCTGTTTTAAGGACTTGCCCATGCGTCGTCTGTCAGTCTCACTGGCGGTGACCATGATGGCTCTCGCTGAGCTGTTTGGTTTCCTGATTCCTTTGGCCTGCATCAGCTACAGCTCCATCCGCATCGCCCAGTCTCTCAACAAAAAAAAGACCAAGGACCAGCAAGACTCAACATCACTAAACCCCCCAGCACGCAGCCGACTCCAGTCGGTCACCTCCAACGGTCAGACAGATAAATATCCTGAAAATCAGACAAACAGTGAGAAACGGCGTGCTCTGCGGATGGTGCTGAGCTGCTCTGCCCTCTTCTTGTTCTGCTTTGCCCCCTACCATGTCAACTTCCTGCTCTACCTGATGGTGTCGCAGAACATTGTGTCCAACTGTGCAACGAGCTTGGCAGTGCGTCAGTTCCACCCGGTGTCTCTGTGCCTGGCGAGCCTGAGCTGCTGCCTCAACCCGCTGCTTTACTACTTTCTGACAGCTGAGTTCAGAATGCACCTCACCAAGCGCACCTCCTCCTTCACCGCCTCGCTCCTCTCCTCCCCGATCAGCTCTCCGTCCCAGCGTCTTGCTCAGCCGAGACTGATGAGCATGGAGAGTAGCTGCTCAGACAGGGAGTAGCATTAATCAGATTTGTTTTGTCCTCAGGGAACAACAGTTAAATGACAAATGGATGCGTCTCCATGATACATTCGGTTGAACTGACAAGATTAGACAAGTTGGACAGCGAGATGATTTCACGTCACAGCTGTCTGAATACAAACTGACCCCAAGAGCTTTGACTTGAAGAACCTCCCACAGGACATCAGTTAAAACAAATAAATCTTCACAATATATATGTGAATAGCATCATATTCTCCTGATGTACATAAGCTACAGCTTGTTGTTCAACAACATTAAAAATGCAACCATTTAAAATAAGCTACACATAAATAAAGCTGTATGTAAATGCATGTGAATGTATGGTAAATAAAAGCAAGCCTGAGCTTTCTGTCTCACGTGGTGGTGTGATCTTTGTTCTCTAATGTATTTGGTATTTAGGTATGTTCCTAATGACGTTTCCTCTGGTTAGAAATGAAAACAGGTGCCACCTCATTTCGGCTTTGCTTCCTCTCACGATGCAACGCGGTTGGTGACAGTTGGCAGCAGTTGCAGCAGCTCTGAAACCAGTAACTGCCAGGCTCTGACAGTCGGGCCCCATCGCCCACCTTCTCTTGCATCTGCTAAAAAATTCTGAGCCAACTTTGAGGCTACTCCCACCCCCAGGAAAATGTATGCGGCCCGACTTAGAAAAAAAACTGTGATTCACCCACCAAAAAAGCACCCACCTCTTATCTTTTTGCTGTCATGCTGCATCAACATTTCTCTTCTATTTAGTAACTGAAAGTATCAGGTTGTGAAATTTGTGAGAGATAGAAGCCAAAAGCAGTTTAAAAAAAGCCAAATAAACTTTTCGGTTTTAGGATCGATTCTCTGTCCGGATATATTACAATGCCTTCACCTGTCGCCAAAAAGACATACATGGCGGATATATATCTTCTACAAGGGAAAAAAGTAGCCATAATAGCAGAAGTTATGATGTAAAACATTCTTGTTAAACCACACCCCCATACTCACAGGAAACCCTATGTGCTAAAACCCCCAGCAGAAGAGACACACAGAATGAAAGGCAGACATAAAGAGATAACACGGTGAGTAACCGAAACAGTAAATACAATTTTTATAAGAGAGGAATGTGACTATATACCTTGGATAGAAATCAAGCGATAAAAATAGTAAAAAAGTGAGAAGAGAGGGCGGGACAGAGAAAGTGAATAGTGTTAGAGGGGGAGGAGAGCGGGAATGACATGTATGTTGGCTGAAGCTTCATCCTTCTCGTTTTTGATGCCACGCAGCTTTACGTTTGAAGACAGAGGTGAGAAATATGATTGTTAATCTTACAGAGTCTTTTGTTAAATAGTTTTTGTGCGAGAGTATGTAACAGCTGGATGCTTTCAGTGTGGAGTCAGGCCTCACAGGGGACCCAGCATGTTTCTCCAATGTGAGGAATGTCTGTTATGTTGAGGGTGTGATTGTGTGTCTGTAGGCCAGTGTCTGTGTGTGTTCCTTTATCTGTCCATTGAAGTATAGAGTGTGTATATCAGGGATGGGGCTTGTGACATGTTTTGTGTGTTGGAACAGCACACGTGGAGGGACCCTGGATGCTCCTTGCCAACATTTTGGGTGCTGATACACGAGGCCAGATGTCTTCTCTGAGTGGAAAAACTGTTAGCTGCGAGAAAACCCACAGAGAGATGAATCACAGTGGATGAAATAATGTGTTTCCATTGGCAAGATTGGAGGACTAAAACTGCTGAATCCTAAGGTAGGGGTGAAGCTCTTATTTGAAACAGTGACATTTTATTTAAGTCTAACTCTTCAAATACTCCTATCGCAAGACATACAATGAGTATTCTGTCACAACAAGATGACATGTAGCTACTGGATGTCACATGGGTTGTTGTTAATATGTCATCATTGAACACAAGAGCCACAGGGAGGAAATGAAAAAACTGTAATTGGTCATCACTAAGAAGTTGTTTCATTTCATGTAGACAACCTCTAAGAGAAGCATACTGTACGTGCAAGAGTGAGAGTAATGAGAGTCAAATCACACTAAAACACTCACACATAGGTCAAAGGTCAGTGAAGCTAAAAGGAAGACTGGAGACCGAGGGTCCGCTGGGAGATCTTTCTGAGGGCTGTGAAGTTGGATAAAGGAGAGCAGAGGCCAGAGTTCTGTGGAGGAGTTTATATCTCTTAAAGCAAATCCCTTCTTTATTTACCCCAAATTCCTCTTGCTCGTCCTCCCTGGGAAGCAGTGGTTGAAAGTAGTACTGTACTGTACTTAATTTCAAATGTGTGCTTGAGAATTTACATTTTATGCTACTTTATACATCCCACAACATTTCAGATGGAAACATTGCACCTTTTACTCCATTTGTTTTACAACTATAGTCATTGTTGTCTGATGTGGTAGTTATTTTATCTTTCTCAAATTGTGGAGATGTGCTTTTGGATATCAGGATTATCCTGATGAGTTTAATGTCTAATGTGCTGTGCTTTTTTGTTTTTTCTTTTGTCTTCTAACATCTTGTGTTTTCACTTTGGGCTCAAAAGTCCAAAACATTAATATAAATTTGTTTAGCACAACTTTTTTCTTCTTTCCTCTCCCATTAATCATCACACGCCCCTCCATATCCATCTCATGATTCTACACATGGGTCCGACCCCTGGCTTGGAAACCCCTGGACTTAAAACACTACAAGAAGTTTTTAACTGGTCTCTCGGCCAGATTCCCCTTAAAATCAGTCAGATAAGGTGGTAGAAACACTACCGCTTTTGTCCACAAGGGTTACCAGAATCCACCAAAAATAAAAGCTCCTTGTTACTGCTTTAACTACCCAACAGTATATGAGGCACTTAGGTCACCAGCTACAACAGCAAAAGCCTGCTTACATATTGATGAATCAGTACAATCTAATAATGTAACAGCAGTGGTTTCCAAACTGGGGTCCGGTGACCAACAGGGTCCTCACATTTTCTGTAGGGGGTCCCCAGCAAATGTAGGAATAAAATATTTTAACATTTCTCAGACGGGATTCCTTAAGACAAAATCCTCTCAAATTGATGGTCTGTAGTCTAATGTGCATCTATTGTGGAGGTCCTTACATGAAGACGTATGGGAACCCCTGTGCTACAGTTTAATACCACTCTGCAAAATGACTACTTTTACTTTGATATTCTGAGTACATTTAGCTGTAAATACTTCATTCTGTACTTTTATTTAAGGAGCATTTTGAATGCAGGATCCTTAACAGGGTACTTACTTGTAATACTGTTGTATTGGTTCTTCTACTTAAGTAAAGAATCTGTGTACTAATTTCACCACTGCTGAGAAGCTTATAAAGAGAAAAGAGGATTAAAAAAAGTCAGAGAGGACAGTTTGTAGTGCTGTCTTGGGCTGCAACAATCATTAAACAAAGTATTTACCATTTAAACACACTCACAGCAGTGCAGCGTTTGGTCTGAAAACAACTGGAAACTATTGGAATTATCTAAAACTGAAGAAACTGAAAAAATAGTCAAAGAGACACAAAGGGTGACTTTATCAGAGCTAATTACAAGTCGAATACTTCCTCAAAAGATTAAAGCAGATGTTAAACAGCTGTGCATCATCCGTATTATTTATGTCCCATTACTTGCTGCATGTCAAGCCTCCCTAAGTAATTGTGTTCTGAATGGTTACAGTAATTTACATGTTATTACCAGACATTTAAAGGCATTTACTGGAGAAGATATGAGAAAAAGCAGTAAGCCTGATTTCCCAGTTTGAACAATGTGATGAGATAAATCATCAATTTCATCAGTGTCATCCGTTACAATACCAGTAAAGTTCCATATTTAGCTAAGACCAGTTTAGTCTGAGTAAATTCAAACGAGGCGAAACTATCAAAACAGGAAGACTCTTCCTAGCTCACTTTGTTCTTGTTGTACAAGGTTTGTATGGGTTGAAATGGTGAGGAAACACGTGAACCTGCATACACCAACTGATGTTTACAGCAGTAGGTGGCTCACGCCTCCAGGCTTGAAGTTCAGTTCCAGATATTACTGTGCATTTCCAGATGTTAAGTTAAAAATCTGTATCTGAAGCTCATCAGGATTTAAACGTTTTTTTTTTAAATATATTTTTAAATAACTTTTATTTTGTTCTGCTGGAAAGGTCAAAAAAGCATAATGCAGCATAACTTCTTTTGAAACAGTGAATTCTCCACAGACAGAGTTGTTCCTCATATCTGAGTGTGCAATGAGATAGGCAGGTCTGTCTTGGTCTGACCTGTTAACCACATGTCTGGTCTGAATTCTACATGAACCACGTAAGTTTCACTGATGCCTCGCCTGTTGTATTCTACCCCACAGGTGGGGATGTTCAACAGTGAACACTATATGTGGGTGCTTGCAGCATTGACTTCTCTGTGGGTTTGCACAGCTCTATTTACTGTAAATGCCACTGCAAAAGTTGCAATATCACAAATATTGTATTATCTTTGCACCTTTTAAACGCATGGTATAACAAGCTGAAACCATGGCTGACAGGTGTGAGCTTGTTTGCATAGTGCATGTGTGTGTGACTAAGTGCTACAATGTGATATGTGTGTGTGTGAGGCTCTTTCTCAGAACCTGATAACTATCTTTGTGACATGCAAAACTTAAATTACCGTGACACAAATATCATCCTGTTCTCTACAGATACCTGCTTTCACCGGTTCCAGCATGCACTGGGCAACAGACTTGGGATTGAGATTAAATGCGATCTGACATATTAACGGGAAACCAACGCTGGAAACACACTTCAACTTTACTAATAGAAGCATGAACACCTGGTCACCATAACAGACAGCATGGATGATCAAAGATGTCTGTCAGCAGACTACAAGCAGCTTTTCTGATACAAGCTTCCTGTTGGTTCACAAGGCAGCTTGTCTTACCAGTTAACAGCAAACAGCCATTCGCCTAAGATGAACCACAGCTGTGAAAGCACTGAAGATCTCCGCACGTACCAGCACCGTGTGTATGCAGTGGTGTACAGTGTGATCTTAGCGCCAGGCCTCCTGGGTAACGTGCTGGCGCTCTGGGTGTTCAGGGTCTATGTCAGAGAAACCAAGAAGGCTGTGGTGTTCATGATGAACCTGGCTATGGCCGACCTGCTGCAGGTAAAAAATCCCTCCATGTATTTTGTACTATATATTTGATGGTTTTATTAGGTTTTCATTCATATAATTCCTCATATAGGTAATTATGTTTATGTATCTATCCACAAATCATCTGTTTGTGTGTAATCTCATCTGATATCATTTGACTAGATATAATATTTTATCATTGAAAAATATCCCTATTTATTATTTTGATTACAGATGAATCAACTATTTTTTTATTTTACTTTAATCCCCTAATAAGCAAGTCGTATATAATGTAATGTAGTAATGGGCAGATATAAGTGTTTATTAATGTATTAGTCAACAATTATAACTTCCCCATGAAGCATCGATAACTGGTGTATTTACAGTTAATGAACGATTGATAACTGATTGATTGATGACTCAGAATAACTGAAATGCCAGTTAATGACATATGAATACACACTTAGTAATAAGACATCTATCAACTGTACAGATCAAGAAATGTTGAGATTTAAAGTTAATTATTGACCTCAATTTGACAGAAAAATATTACTAACTCAAAGTCCTCATACTAAATTTGTGGCAGAGCTTTCAGACACATCTCATGGCCTTCATTAGCAGATGGAATGAGCCCATGCGGGGTAAAAGAGCAGTATTTTTTAATAAATAATACTAAATTAATAAATGCAATAAATCAATCAATATAAATAATATAAGAAATAAAGGGTTATATTTCTTATTCATATTACAGTTGTGTGTTATTTGATTATACACCAGTTTGGATGCTTTTATAGGTGCTGAGAGAGCATAAACATAAAAATGTCCTTATACACAACTAATTGATTAGCTGAGTAAAAACGTTCAGAAGAAGCGATCGGGCTGCTGAATTGCTCATTATGTCATCAAAACAGGAGCATATTTTCTGAAGACAACTGGTTTTACTTCTTCTTTTGCTATTGTTTTTTAAAAATGTGGGCAAAATCATGACACAACAAAGCATTGCCATCTAAGCCGATATGACACTTCAGCAGTTTAGTAATCGAGGTCTCTGCCACAAGATTTTGAAAGAGACGGTCTTGAAACAATTCAGCTGAAATTTGAGTTGATTCATTTTCTTGTAGCTAGCTGAGTGACGTCTGAATAAGCAATTGGGCTGCTGATTTGCTCAATCCATCATATTTTCTTAAGATAATCCTCCTCCTCCTCAGGTGCTCTCCCTGCCTCTGAGGATCTACTACTACCTGAACAACACTTGGCCCTTTGGTCATCATCTATGCATGATCTGCTTCTATCTGAAGTATGTCAACATGTACGCCTCCATCTACTTCCTGGTGTGTGTCAGCGTTCGTCGCTGTGAGCTTATCATGCGTCCGTTGAGGTGCAGCTCATCCAGGCGAAAACGAGACATGTTTATCTGTGCCCTTGGCTGGCTGTTAGTCTTCCTGGGCTGTTTGCCCTTTCCTCTGCTAAGGAACTCCAGCAGTGAGCTAAACGCTAATTCAAGTGACAGACACAGTGCCACTATCCCTAGGCTGGTGTGTTTCTCAGAGCTGCCCATGAGGGACGTCAGTATTCCTGCAGCCTGGGCCCTCCTGATCATAGCAGAGCTGTTGGGATTCATCATCCCACTCATCCTAGTGTTAGCCTGCACCTGTCTGACTGCCGGGAGCCTTCGGGAGACGTCAGGGGGGGCAATTCCTGACAGAGGGGAGAAGCGGAGGGCATTACGGATGGTGCTGAGCTGTGCTGTGGTCTTCCTACTGTGCTTTGCTCCTTACCATATCACTATGCCCCTGGACTTCCTGGTTAAAGCCAATGCCCTGGGCAGCTGCACCTTCACGGACCTGATTCGGAGATGTCACCCCGTCACGCTCTGCCTGGCCAGCCTGAACTGCAGCCTGGACCCTCTCATGTACTATTTCACAACTGATGAATTCTGGAGGCGACTGAGCAAGCCAGAGATACCAGAGAGCATAGGTTTCGGCAGGCGGCTGTCCTGTATAGCCGGAGGAGAGGGCTTAGAGGATGACTAGACTACAGTCAGTCTCTCGAAGCTCTCTTTCTGAAGAAGAAACAGTTTAAACTCAACCACTAAAGTCCTATACAAACTAGGTAGATTTATTTGACATGTAAATAGTATGTGAGAGTTTCAAAATGTGAAATTTTTCTATTTATATATTTCAATAAAAGGCGTCTTTTTCTAAATTTGCATGGCCCTGGTGAAGAGTGAGCTGTTCCTGTTTTGAAGGATGAACTTTAGTGCTAACAGCTAATAAGCATCAGGAAATAAAAAACGTGAGCAAACCCCTAAACCAGCTACGTTTCCTCTAGATCCAGTTCTGTGATAAGCGAACAGCTTGCACAGGATGATGAAAAGGGTTATTGTTGGCGTTTACAAAGCTTTCATTGGTGCTATAATAAAAAGCAAACAGCCGAGACATTCAGTAACTAAAGAAATGCAATTTTTATTCAGCAACAGTGAAGTTCATTTCAGTAGCTGCACACAACATTGGTTTTTATCTAATATTAGAGTATTGTTAAAAAGCTGAGACAGAAACACATTTTTACAAGTACTTTTCCTGTCTGATTGTCTTTCTGTGCAGGCATCAAGTGGGAAACCTTTCAAAGTGACTTGAAATTATTTGGCAAAAGGCCTTTTTTTTTTCCTCACTACTTTCAAGCTTTTCCTTAAGGGCTTTCAAAATCAAGGACAAGTGTGCAGATTTATGCAGATTCACTGACGGACTTTTACAAACAAATTGTTCCTTTGACAATTTTAAATATATAGTGTTCTACAATACTTGTAGCCGCTTATATTAAGCTATGTCTTACAGCTATCTCAGTAGAGGTAGTCTCATGTCATGGGACTACAAATTCATAAATACAAAGTGGAATTTGGTGAAATTTCCCTTTAGCTTATTTACTCCTTTAGCTCATCAAACATCCTTAAACTTTATTGTCACAAATGAGGTTTCTACACAAACACAAACACTGGTCATATAGGGTGCTGGACTGTTCACCATCAGGTATGACACCATCAAATACATAAAGTCATCACACAGCGGGACAGCAGAGGGCTCTGAGACAGCAGGGCACTCTGGGAAATATCTACAAAAAAAATAAAAATAAAAATAAAAAAATGGCTACGGAGAGCTCTGGACTTGAGCATCTCTGGCGCCATCGATAACGGACACTGACGACCAGGTTACATGTGTAACTGTACTGTACCAAACATTTGCAGGGTGACTTGTGCTATATCACACTCTAACATGTAGTAGATCTCGTCAAGGCTGCTCTAGTGGGAACAGCAGGCTGATGCACAAACACGTCTGATAGGAATGGGTTCTCAGTATCGTTACGATATTCAGTAGAAGGACTAACAACGCTCGTCTGGAGGTGAGAGAATGTAATACAGTAACAACGATAAGATAAGCCCGCAGGAAACTACAGCAACAGAACAAAAAAACAACAGAACAAAGGAAACTTAGTAGATTCTTAGTAAGCAGGCGGACGCTGGTTATCAGTACAAGACTAACTACTGAATATTTGAGCTATGACTTATACAGGTTTAAGGGGGAATACAGCAGTAGAGGAAGGGGGGAGGTTAGGCTATATAACGCTGTAACTTAAATTCACTTATCACTGGGGTTAAAGCAGGGAAGGCAAAAAGTTTTATACAAAAAGAAACTTTCTACTAAAAGTTGTTCCCTCCTTCGCCTACTCCCTCCCACTCTCTTTCTCGCTCGCTCTGGCTCCCTTTATCACTCTCTCACTCGCTTTCTGACCTACGCTCATGCTTTCCCATCAAGCCTTGCAGATCCTGGTCTCCGTCACAAACTTGTTCTCAAAGTGCTGGATGGTGAAACATTCGTCTGCAGAGCGCTTCTCGATGCCTCCACCTGACAGATACAAAAGACACACAAACATTAGTCGGAAATATTGGAGTGACGTTCCCCTTTCAAGACAGATTGAAACTGAAATTAATCTTTGCAGAGAAATCAGTATATATATTGTTAGTGTTTACTTTGACTTGTGTACTTTTTGTTTTATTATACAAAACTGTAATTTATAACAAATAATGTTACAGCCCCCTCTACATTAGTGTGAATCTTTGGTTCTTACAGACATTGGGTCCTATTCAAACGATCTATAGTACACTGTCTGTGCATTAAGGGTGTCAGGCTGGTCACTTGCAAATACTTCATACATATAATGGTATATAACAAATGCTATGTGGGCTTGTTGAAAAAAAAAGGTAGCAAGACATCTTGTATCAACGTTCACAGGCAACACAGCGCTAATGCCACATGCACACACTGTCAGCAGAATGAGAAAACTTGGGTGTGTGTTGTTACATTGTAAGAGCGATATCTTAACATGAGAAACCAGATACAGTCTGCGTATGTGTTAATAATGGGTTTTATTTAGATGTCACCGAGGACTGTCGCCTCTTGGATGTGAGCTGACGCCTGCCCCCTCACAGAGGCTTGAAGCTTAGATAACTGTGTCCAAAGAAGGTTTTATCCTCTAACATTTATAGCTATTTATCTGCCATTTGAAAAGTAAGTCAACTAGTACTTTGAAGCTCAACAAACATTACAAAAGATCAGTTTTAGCTGTAGAGTACATCCAGACCTGGCAGGCTGGAGCGGCGTTGCATTCTGTATGTTTCCTTTCCATCACACAGCCGACGGATGTAAAAGCCCAGAGGCTTGATATCATCGATGCGCTCTGTCACCACCAGGTCCTCGTGCACCAAGTAGCTGCGGTAAGAGCCAGACTGGGACAAAAAGAAGGGATCATGAAGGCTTTAACCACTTTTAGTCTTTCAAAAAACAGCTCAGTGAACACGACTGCAGCTAAGTGTGAAAACAGAGAAGGAAGTACTTTGTTCACTTAATGACTCATCCCCAAATTTCTGCATTTGCGAAGTGTTTTCACAGCAAATAATGAAATTTGCTGATTGCGCCACCACCCACCGAATGCCAAATGCTGTACAACCTGTCATGGTGGAGGACTCAGTGAAGCCAACTGAACTCTCAGTGCCTACAGTCTTGAGACTGACTGTTCCCGAACCGGGTCTTGCTGACCACGTTCCACGCATACTTAAACACTTTAAAGAAACACAGATTTTCTACAGGAAGCTGATTGTGTGCATGAAAAAAAGTTGCAACTAGCACAACAGTTTTATTATAAAAAATATATATTGTTTAGAAAAGGTACAAATATTTTACCAGTTAACAACATCATCAGTAGCATTTTCAATTAGTTGACCTTTTGCACAGCAGCCATTTTGATATGAAACAGTAGGGTACCAATGACACAAAATAAGGTTCTGTACCATTGAGGTCAGACAGAGTCAGGCTGCTGGAACACCTGCATTTACCCTACTATTTCATGCCAAAGTGGCTGCTGTGAAAAAGGCATATTAGTTTTCTGAGAGCAAGAAATAACTGACTGATCCCTTAAATTTCTATCTAGTACCTTGATAAAGTCAAACTTGCTAGACTAATTCCAGTCACCTTTAACTGTGCTTTGTGCAAACGTTAACATGCTATCACACTAAACTGTGGTACACATTATACTGACAGTTAGCATTTAGCTGAAGGCCTGGCTGTACTTAAGTTGCCTCACAGAGCTCCTAGCATCGCTGTAGACTCTTAAGTCTTAGAAAATTTGGTACTTCACAGAGAAAGGCCAATTTTTACTTTATTAAAATGACAATAGTTTGTTTTGCTGACTCCAGAATTCTGTGATGTGTAGTATTAATAACCAGGTCGGGTGAGTAACTGTTAATGAATGAATCATGAATCATATTTCCTGCCAATCAGAACTTGAATCATCACTCCTCTGTAAACTCCTTGGTGGAGGTCTAAGAGCATTTTCTAGTTGGCCTAACTATCTATAATAGGTAACTGTAAATGTCTGATCTGCATTAATATTCTCCTACACAGTATTATTTTTATGTGTTAACAAGACATTGTAGTTCTACAGTGCCACCTCGTGGTCTGTTCTGCCTTTATTTTGAAGAGCACCGTTTTCTTCTTCTTCTGATGTTTCTGTGACGCTAAACTTCCTGCTACTCTCTCTTCACAATGTGGTGCTCACGCGTCGTCGGAGGAACGGTTAAAAACTTGTAAACACATTAGTTATTTATCATGTCCATCCATTTTAATCCTGTAAGGAACGAGTTTAACTTGTGATTTACTTCATTATTTTTCTATTGTTCGTAGCCGTTATTTCTAAGAGCTCTGAACTGTGAGTGTGTGTGGAGCTAGAGAACATGTTAGCTGATGGCGGAAACCGTGTGTATTATTATCAGATGGGATTTTGTTTAAGGAAAAAGAGAATGTCAGTACTTAATTTGTTTAGGAGTTAATTGCACATGTCACCAGGATAAAAAGCAATATATTCTTTATGTGAACAATTATAATATATTGCATTTCATTTAAAAGACGTTTCATATTTCATCGTTATTAGTTGGTTAAAATGATTTGTATTGGGTGTAAACACAATTAAGATGTGAACATGAATTATGTGCGAATTATTTGTGAAACTGCAGAGAAGTATTTTGTATTTCTTCTGTTTTATTCTGTAGTTTTCACGGTGTTCATGGTTCTTATGGTGCCTGGTGCTCATTGAGAGGAAGAAATAAATAATTTTCCTCTGTGGTAGCATAACCCCCCAGACCCCCATTAGCAGGCTATTTTTTTTCCACTGGTTGGCTACTCCACATCTTTGTAGAAAACCCTGTATCACACATCAGACAAAAATGTAAGTACTAAATTTGGAGATTACTCAGTCTGAATCATATAGAGTTACTAATATCCCAGACTGTCTGGAATAGGGGAAGGTGATGTGTGCTGGGAATTTTTACTTTACAAATGTCCGATTTGCACAGGATTAAAGCACAGGCAATCTCCGGAATTATTATAAATCCCTGGATTTCCCCAGGTAATATTTAGTCCTTTATATTACAGCTTATGCATGAGCTTGAGTGAAAGCGCTGCGTCGGTATAGTTTCCTCTATTATCCAAGCTAGGTCTCTTATACTGGCAGCCGCATCCTGAGATCCCGAGGACACAAAGTGACCACTACTCACCATCAGCTGTGAGAAGAGGTCGATCAGATCCTGAGGGGGGAGCACCACCGAGGTGTTCAGAGGAATCACAAAGCAGGTCCTCAGAGTCAGGTCCAGATATGCTGTCA